CCCCCCCCCCCGCACAGTGATTGCTGGACATGGGCACCGGCGACCCCATGACTCAAAATGGAAGAAGCGGGTAAAAGATAATGGATGGTTGTCTTTGCAAACCATAAGTCTCTTTTGACATTTCTCAGACTTAGAGATGCAGAGAACAACTGTCTCAGGGTCTGAAACAGGGTGGAATGTCTCAGTTATTCAAGGGAGAACAGTTTCCTTTTTTTCTTCCATTAAGGGACATCTTTACAGAAGGACATACTCAGTTCCAGTTATCATAAAAATAACTGAATGTTCTAACAATCTCAATGTCAGGCATGCATGTATATCTCTACGAAGGTTAAAAATAAAAATAAATAAGCATTGTAGACTTTTTTCTGGTTTCAGATTCAGACCTGAAGTTGTCAGAGCTGTGCTCCTAAAGACCATACTGCAGCATGGCTGCCTGGCAAGTGATAAACAAAAGCGCGTATAAAAGAACAAACATAGACCCTGGAGAGCAGGCAGATCAGTAATAAAAGGACTGTGGAGAAACTCAGAGAGGAAAGCTGAACTGTTCAGAGGAGCACATTTTACAACAAGCAACAAAGAAAAGCCATGAAGCTGAAGTTCAAACTTTTGGTTGTGAGCAGCTCAACGTTTTGTCAGTACGATACAAAAAGTTGTAGTTACTTCACCGTCTTGGAAACAATTGACAAAATCATTCCAACTATAGGAATGTTCGCTTGAAAAAATAAACCAAGACACAAATATTTCAGCATAGAATTTCTGATTTAGGTAAACATTTATCTGTCAGTACGGAGTTAATATTTTAACTGATTATGCTCAGGTGAAATATGTCTTGCAAATTATTTGTTTTATTAACCAGTTTGTCTTTTGTCGGGAGTAATAATGTCAGTCTGGTTGTTTCAATGAAACAAAATTGACACAACACAAACAAATTGCCTGTTTACATTTAAAATATAAACTTTGTAGGTTGAATTCAAGTAATAAAAATAACAGTTATCAAGAATAAAAATCCTAAAACCATTTAAAACCAATACTCTTTACTTTATATATGCTTCCATTAGGTAATGTTAATAAACAGCATAGGATAAATTTTCATTGTTATGCTGATGATACAAAGTTATATTTATCCATTAAACCCAATGAATCCAATCAGCTACTTAGACTACAAGCATGTCTTAAAGACATAAAAACCTGGATGACCCTAAATTTTCTGTTTTTGAATGCAGACAAGACTGAGGTTTTAGTTTTTGGATTTGAGCATCTTGGGAATAAATTTGTCAGTCTTTCTCCCTCCTTGGATGACATTAATCTGGCCTCCAGCTCTAATGTTAAAAATCTTGGTGTTATTTTTGATCAGGACATGTCTTTTATCCCCCACATTAAAAACGTTACTAGAACCTCCTTCTTCCAACTACATAATCTAATTAAAATTTGAAACATCTTATCTAAAAATAATGCAGAAAAACTGGTTCATGCATTTGTCACGTCTAGACTGGACTATTTCAATGGTTTATTATCTGGGTGTCCAAATACTTCTTTAAAAAGTCTTCATTTGATCCAAAATGCTGTTGCCAGCGTCTTGACTGGAGTTACTGGGAGAGATCATATCTCTCCAGTTTTAGCTTCTCTCCATTGGCTCCCTGTCAAATCCAGAATTGAATTCAAAATCTTACTTGTAACCTACAAAGCTCTCAACAACCTGGCTCCATCTTATATTTGAGATCTTATTGGTCCATATTTTCCTAACAGAGCACTTCTTTCTCAGACTGAAGGTTTACTTGTGGTTCCTAGAGTTTCCAAAAACAGAATGGGAGGAAGATCTTTCAGTTATCAGGCTCCTCTCCTGTGGAACCAACTTCCAGTTTCTGTCCGTGAGGCTGACACATTATCCAGTTTTAAGACTGGACTTAAGACGTTCCTTTTTCATAAATCCTGTAATTAGGGTCGGCTTGTCATGCTATCTTCAGCTTAGAGTACTGGTGGACAAATTGACCTAATTTCCTTAAATGATTTGCTAAAATTAAATATTTTTCATTTGATACTATTTCTGTTTTAATATGTGATTCCTGAGATGACTTCTGTTGTGACTTGGTGCTATATAAATAAACTGAATTGAATTGAAAACGTAAAAAAGCTAATTACAGCTAAACGTGTTAAAAAAATGAACCTTTTAACATACGGCTGCAAGATAGAAACTATGTGAATCAACACGTGAAAAACATTTGATGTCTCGCTCATTTACTGAGTGGAGGAGGCGGGACTTAATATTTGTATTGGCACCAGTTCACCTGTTCATTCTTCAACTTTAGGGTTCTCGTCAGAGTTCTAGTTATATACGATCTATGGTCTGATCACCCAAATTAAAAATAATCAGATCTTTAAAAAGTATGTTGACTCAAACCAGATAATTAAAGTCACAACACTCATTTGATCATACTAGACATGATTTTCGGCACATTTTCATTTTTATGGTAACTCAACAAGTTGTTTCTGGATTAAAACAAAACCATGAAAACAGGAAAAGGAAAAAAAAGTATATTTTTTAAAAATTATAACTGTTTAGAAACTAGACAGGTTTTTTTTGTTGTTAAAAATTGTTTGTCTTTAAATATTTTACTTGTTTCAAAACATTTAAAATACATTGTTGCAAGTGTTTTCCACACGTACACGTGTTAATGCAGCACATCTGTATGCACGCACTCTTAACACTCACGCTCCATGTTTTGTATTCAGTCCGTGCACAGAGGTCCGGTATAGAGGGGATTTTTGCTGAGCTTGTTTTTAGGATTGTAGAATTAGGTCATTGCTCTGAACACCTTCACTTTCTTTCACTAAGACACACGTGCACAACCACAGATGTGCACAAGCAACCATTGCCACAGCTTCTTCCCAACCTGGGGAGTGGTGGCACAGAGGTTAGAGAAGGTGGGCCTGTGATCAGAAGGTCATCGGTTCGACTCCCCGGACAGACAACATCAAAATGTGGGTGGAAAGGTGAAGCACCCACACCTGCCTCCACCTTCATTTGCCCCAATCTTGACCCTTGAGCAAGGCCCTTAACCCCCACCATCTGTTCCCAAACAGGTTTCTACTGAAAATGAGTCCTCGTGACTCAATGAGACTACCTGTGTAAATAAAGTTTAAATAAAAAAAAAAAACGTTGTATTCTTTGAGTTTTGTGATGTCACGCTCACCACTCTCTTCCTTCCCTCCAACCTCCAGCTGTCACCGGAGACCTCCTCCACTGATATTTGCACATTGTGTGTGTGTGTGTGTGCTTATTCCAGGTCAGCAGCTCTAATAGAAGTATGCCCTTAAGAAATGGTGTCCAACAAGCACTTACTTATACTTTGTTGCACATTCACATTTCTACGTTTAGCTGTTTTAAAGGGATAGTCTGGTGGGTTTTGAAGTGATGTTCTGTCAAATAGTTATGAATAGTTAGTATCTTATGAGACATCAGTCACAGAGCAGAGATGTAATTATTAGTGCAGCAATTTCATGGTAGTTAAACAACATTTAGGATGATATAATTAGGTTAGAATTTCTCTGTAATCTTTGCTTTTGATGTGTAAGAAGAAGCATAAAATAACATAAACTGATAAGCATGTTGGCAGCACGGTGGCGCAACTGGTAGAGCTGCTGCCTCTCAGTGAGCAGGTCCCTGGTTCAAACCCCGGTCCAGGGGCCTTTCTGGGTGGAGTTTGCATGTTCTCTCCGTGCATGCGTGGGTTTTCTCCGGGTGCTCCGGTTTCCTCCCACAGACCAAAAACATGCATGTTAGACTGATTGGTAACTCTAAATTGTCCCTAGGTGTGAGTGAGAGAGTGAATGGTTGTTTGTCTCGTTTGTCTCTATGTGGCCCTGTGATGGACTTGCGACCCGTCCAGGGTGTACCCCGCCCCTCGCACAGTGATTGCTGGACATGGGCACCAGCGACCCCCGTGACCCAAAATGGAATAAGCGGGTAAAGATAATGGATGGATGGATAAGCATGTTCAAAAGGGTTTAATCCATGAATTTTCTTTGACATACACATCTGAAATGAAGGGTTAGATTACTGTAAATTCAATCCATAGCCATCACCCTGACCTTCTGACTTATTATTATGATTACAGTAGTCCCTCTCTACTTCGCGGTTCATTTATCGTTCTATCACGGTTTTTCAAAGTAAGATGGGACATGACAAACAACTGGCTGATTGATGGATGAGCCGCACTCTCAGCATGGATTTGTAATTTAAAATGAATTATTTTACATTATTTAGCATCTGCTGCACCTATGTGCAGCCCATAAGCTGCCGGAGAAACTTCTCCTGCACGTGTCATATCTCTGCTCTGCAGAGAAGTGGGCGTGGCCGAGAGCCCTGGTAGGTGGCAGAGAGCAGCCGGAGGCAGAGAGTCGAGATTATGACATGCTGTGCTCTTTTAGAGCACTTAGAAATATTTTTTAGAATATTGCAAGAGTGCGGGAAGGGTTTAAAACGCCTTTATACATACATACAGGTATATATATATAATAAACTACTGCTTAGTATTTGTACTACTATTCCTACTTCACGGTTTTTCACTTATCACGGTGCTTGAGGGTACGGATCCCCCGCGATTCATTCAATCTTTATTTAAACAGGTTAGTCCCATTCTGCCACGAGGACTCATTTACAAGAGAGACCTGGAAACAATAAACGAGGAACTAATGTATTATTATTATTATTATTATTAATAATAATATTATTTATTCATTTTTGTCTTTTGTCTCTTTACAGCTGCGTAGTGGACGAGATGGACTTCTCAAACATGGAACTGGACGAAGCTCTGAGGAAGTTTCAGGCTCACGTTCGTGTTCAGGGAGAAGCGCAGAAAGTGGAGAGACTCATTGAAGCTTTTAGGTGAGACCCGATCACAGCCGGGCCTTTCTTATAAAAAGAGTTTGCTTTACAACCCGACAGTTTATCGCAGGTCTGAGCAGAGCTTTCAAGGTCTGTCTGAACGTCATCAAACGACTAGACCTTTTGCCTGCAGCCTCATAAGCAAAACATGAAAGCATTTCACGTATTTTACAATATTTTTGTCAGTCAGAACGACGGCCTAATAGAACGACTGTAAAGACGTACGAGTGTTTAACTGGTTCTGTCGTCTCACTGCTGCAAGCTGCGATGACACCAAACCTCTGTATAATTAGTGAATTACACTGATTGCCTGTAACCTTTAACTAAACGCTGCAGAGTGTTTGATTATAAGCCACAATCGCAACAGAGACCTTCACTGCAGGCAATCAGCGTGGTTTTCATCAGGACAAAAATAGATGCTCTATTTTACAAGTATCTCTCCTGGATCACGCTTCCTGTTTGTATTATCTTTTTTTAGGGTTCTTCTGCGTGCTGGATAGCTGTACGTCTGTTTACTAGTTCACTTCAGTCCAGGTTACTCATATTAGTAGTTAAAAGGATGAAGCCAGAGTTAATTTTTTTGCTCATTTGTCTCAGTCCTGAGCAAATGAGGGCGAGCACGACTCATTTAAACATCAGAAGACCTTGAGAGGCCAACACTAGTTTGTCCTTACGTGAACTGTGTTGCCTTTCACAGACCCCATGGGCAGAAACATTTAATGATGCAATTTTATCTTTTCACTCAAAATGATTTTTGAAGCAACCGGAGCTTTAACAGGTGCTTTGTTCCCTGGCTTGTGATGTCCTTGAAATGTTCCAGTGTTATCAAAAGTTTGTCCTCGAGACTAAATTTATAGTAAAAATCCCATTTTTGTTTGCTGCTTCAGAGTAATAGCTTGTGTTGCAATGTACAATGAATATCCCTCTGCTGATGACTTGGACTCATTTGCTAAAATGTAATTTCCTACAACAGAGAAAAGTGATTACAACCATCAGAACTGTTATGGTATGTTGCTTACACAAAAATCTGAGCTCCATATCAATAAAACTGGCTGAGTTACAGCCAGTTAATTAAGCCAGTTAATTAAGCCAAAACAGCTTAGTGTTTGTCAAGGTCCGCTGACTGTGAAGGTGAATGTTTTCGAAAAGTTTCGTCAAAATCCATCCAGTGTTTCTTGCCAGATTTTGTTAACAGACAGAGCTGAACACAAAAAACAGCCAGCCCTCACTCAGTCACTTAGTGCTCTGAGTACGTGTTGGGGATCAGTCTCAACTACTACCACATCGGAGCTCAATATCAGAAAAACTGACGGAATTAAAGCCATTTGTGTGTTTTGTTAAGGTTGCTTAGCTGTGGTGGTCATCATGAATGGGGCTGATGCCAAAAGTATCAGCCCCATCAGATCATGTAGATCTACAGCCAATGGTTACGTTCTGAGAGTTTCACTAAACGCTTTCCTGTGGCTCATGAGAAACAAACAAACACCCACATGGACACGGGTAAAACATTATTGTTCAGGAAACTCAAGATCTAGGCAGACTGGGTCTTATTCCAGAATATAGTTCAGCCCAGTAAAACAATTTCAAGTAAATTCTTTATTGTGAAATTCTTACACATTGCAGTTATTTACATAGACATCTGTTGTTATATCTCTTGAGGACTGGCCCTGTTGCAGTGCAGTCCAGAGTTCATCACGATATGTTCTGTGGGAAACACAAGCTGTAATAAAAACAGATTACATGCACTCTGACAAGAACCTGGTTTAGGATTCAAGAGTTCAGCCAGACACCAAGAACGTTTGAACAATTTTATTGTGTTTAAGTTGCTGGTGGGAGTCTGGATCCAACCACAGGAACTGGTCTGCAGAGTTAGTATAGGCTGTAGGTCTCAGAAAATGTGCTGAAAAGCAGAAGACAGCCACTAACTTCCTCAGACTGGTGGGGCGAGGCGTAGAGCCAACTCCCAGAGCTTGGAGAGACGTGTCAGTGGAAGTAATGACATCACTGTAGGTGGTGGGCAAGCAGCTGGAGAGGGAGGCCTTTAATGCTGTGAGTTGATTCGACAGAGGGGCAAACTTTAATCATGGTCTGAGAAGAGAAGCAGGGTTCATACACGGGGAGGCCGAGATCCGAGAATTAATCCAGAGGGAAATCCTTAATCCAAGAGTCGATGGGCAAAAAAGGGTCATAGTTACCAGAATCAGAAAAGTAGAACAAAGCAGACGTGGGGCAGACAGGGCGGCAAATCCAGGAAACAAGGGTGAGGTTGAGACAAGAAGGTCAGGTGTGCACATGAAAGAATGGCTGGATATCTACTAGCAAAAGTGTTTGATAATCTGGCCGAGATTTGGCGTGGATGAAGCTCTTATAAAACGGGCAACAGGTGCAGGGCATGAGCGCTGATTGCGGCAGAGAAGTGGGTGTGACAGGTGGCAGAAAGCAGAGATCATGACATACTCAGTCAGTGGAGCTACGTAATGGCCTGAAAATTGTTGTAAAATACGTAAAATAATCTTTGTCTGAACTGCGATGGCATTTTTAAGGTTTAAGTTGTTTAGAAAGTTGAAACATGTTAGAATAACTCTCTGACTAGCTGTTAAATTGACTTCCTTCATTAGGATTTCTCTCTGGTTCTCAAACCTGGGATTGTTCTGAATGCCGTCTATTGCAGGTTAGATATTGACTACATATAACACTACAACTACCCTTTAATGGCATTATTACAGTGCTGACTGTTAGTTTTTTATTATGTTTGCCACGTCACATTGCACAAATAATTAGCACACATTTCAAACAACACGTGGAAGGACAGATGGTGGAAATGTTTTAATTTGGTAAACATTTGACGGTTTTAAAACCAAACCTGAATCCTCCTGCTACATGTGACCCTATATTTAGTCTCAGCCATGCCTCTCCCAGGCTAATCAGATATTTCTCTAATGGGGAGTGCATTTTTATTATTAAATATATAAATTTTTTGCATTAAAATGGTAACATGCTGCATATTCTCTTAAATTTCATCCAATATTTCCAAAAGATGTTCAGAAAAGTCAGAAAGACAAACTTTCTGTAACATCTTGGGAATTTTAATTTTATTTATAACGGAAGTTCTTGGATTTTTGAATATGCTATAAATGTTGGATTGGATCTAAATGATGAAATGATGTGTACTAACTATTTTTAAGAAGAAAATTATATCTAATTTTGTTCAAGATCAAATTTAGCACGTATGTATTACTATCATGATGGAAAGTTCTCCCGTGTTTCTGTGATTGGGGAGTCTTTTTTTTAAATTTTTAATTGTTTGCCTAAAAAGCGTGAATTTATAGCACAGTTTCTAAATGTCGTCTCTACATGCCTGTGCAGTCGAGTGCTCGCTAATCAACACACGCCCACCTCCTCGTTTCACAGCCGGCATTATGCACGACACGCTCAAACTCATCCGATCCAAACTAATTTGTTTATTTTGGTTTTTATCTAACCCAGAAATATGCTGCTACCAATCTTTAAGCTCATTATCACGTTCTTTGGCGGCTTTGAGCTGCTTCGTGACCAATTGTTATTTTTTCCCCTCTTGTTATTGACATTCATAGTTTCCAAACTGTGTTGTTTGTGTGGGAATCAGGTGTCACAATCTGTGTTTTCTGTTGTTTTGTGAGCAAAATTGTTTTTTCTGTTTAGTTATTTTCACTTTTGTTGGTTCTTTGTTTCCCTGTGTTCAGTTTCTGTCCCTCGGTGCCATCAGTCCGCCTTGCCCAGCTACACCTCACAGCTGCAGCCACTTCTCCCATCAGACCCAGTCCTTTTAATTCCCCATCTTCACCTCATTCACCAGTTGAGCATTTTTGGTTTTCATGTGGTTCTTCCACCGACTCCCTGTAATCCTTGTGTCTCATGTTACTCCTCGTGTTTTGCTGTCACGTCACCTTTTTGTTCTCTTTTGAAATTAAAGCTTATTTTCTTGAGCTCCTTCTTTTGATCTGCATCCTTGAATCCAACCTCCCACAATCGTGACAATAAGATCACTTTATGCTGACTGCATCTAGTACTGTATGTTCTGAAGCCAGCTGACGATGTAAAAGGTTCAAGCACAAGGAGCTGTGTGACATGAGGTGCAAAAAAATCTATTATCTGAATTTATTGAGGGTGGTAATTAAAAAAGTCGCTACAATTCCTCTAAAAATGTAATTAACCTCTCTTTTAATTAATTTGTTGTGGACTGAATGTAGTTTCATTGTTGCCGGCTGCCTAACAGTGGAGACAGATGATCTCAGAGCCACTGGTTGGATTTTAATGAAACTTGCAGACAAGAGTCATTGAATGTGCATCTACTCCTGTTAAATGTTTTGGAGTCAGCCTGATTCAAGATGGCCACCACTCAACTTGAGCCAAACTCAATCAACTTTACAGATATTGAGCTAAACTTTGGTGTGGTAGTAGCTGACAGTCATCCCCAACACGTGCTCCAAGCACTGATTGATTGTGCAAGATTGAACATTTGCCATTAACTGTTTGGAGGCGACTCTGGCTGATAGCAAACTGTTTCATGCAACGCTGGACAGATTTCACAGAAACTTTACAACTACAACTGATTAACATTTGGTGTTAACTACATTCAAGATGGCTGCCACAGCTAAACGAGCATAAGAAACACTGAAATGGCTGTATTTTGTGAATTTCAGCTAGATTGCACTAAATTTTGGTGTTAGTAGCTGAGAGATATTTATAACACTTACTCAAAGTGACACTTGTTATTTGAAATCTTGCCTTAAAGATTCAGTGTTGGAGTCAACAGTCTTGACAAAATACTCTTTGCATACACCCTTAGTAAAATGACAACTTTTCTTTTAGTTATGGTTAGGGTTAACCACAACAGAAAAGTCTTTTTTTTTAGCTATTCTCAATGGTATTTTTGAGTTTGTTGTCTTTAGAGACACTGTTAAAATACTGAGCCGGCTGATAGACACTGTGCCATCTTTATCAGGGCTATAGAACTTTCTGGTTGCGTTCACAGACAATCTCACTGCACTTCGTCCTCCTCCTCACCCCCTGCAAAATGTATTATGTTTATCTATGTTGCTTTGCTATTATAGTTTTTTTTTTTTTGCTACCTTACACTGTGCCCTGTGTCAAGGACACATTGTGAGAGATCTTTTTTACACCTTCTTTCCTCATGATTTTCTTCCCTTTTCTTATCGATAAGGGCAGCGCTTCACAGCGAAGCTGCAGCCTCCGTGCACTTCCGTCTACTCTTGTTGGATGGCTGCACTGAAATGTATTTTTGTTGCGCTTAACTGTGCAATGACAATAAAGTTGATTCTGATGACGCTTCAGGCTCTCTGGGGAGTTTGCTGTTTTTGTTTCCAAATGCAGTGTATATTGTAGTGTTCCTAATTTAAAATGTTAACAATCCCCAGTAGAGCCCAGTTCTGCCACTGGATGAATCAAAGCAAAGTGAGATTTCAGTTCATATTTAAACAGAAAATTTTTGAAGTATGTAAAAGTAACTGGCATCCAACATGCTGTTTTAGTTGGACTTCAAAAGTGCAGGTTTTAGCTAAGATTTGTTTGAGAAATCACATCATTGTTTTGTCATTGTGTAAAGAAAACACACCTTCAGCAGTCTATTAAAAACTAATTCATCGTGTGAGGAGCGAAAGAAATGATAAGTGAATCTGATCTGATGGACAATCATGTAGTCATTAGTTTATCCCATCATTCGCTCAGTGTCTCTGGGTGCAAATTATAAAATGATCAGTGTACTCCAAGCTGCAGCTGGATCTGAGTGCAGGTTCAAAAAAAAAAAAAAAAAAAAAAAAAAAAAAAAAAAACCTGGGGATTTTATCGAGAAAACCAGACATCGTATATCTCATCAGTTGCGTAATGGTTGTTATGTCATCTGTTTGCAGCGTGTTGCACTCTTGTTGGGAGTCGTTACTTTTACACAAAGTGGTATTTTGTGCCAGCTGGCATCCAATTTTTATATATAGGAGCCGGAGTTTAAATAAACTGCTTACATAAGAGGGAGATCTGGGCTCGGAAATGTGTGAATGAAACATGAAACCACGCACATACTCGGACTCACCACTTCGTTTACTCTCTCACACACACGCTCCTACACGTTGATGCACGTGTCCTTTTTACATTCTGCACGCTCCTGGAGAATTGCTGCAAAATTGCATCAACTTAGTAAATCAGGAGCGTTGTTAGTGTTTCTGCATGTGTGCATGGTGTTAGTGCAGAGCTCCTTCATGTAATGGTGGTTCCCAGCTAGACTGGTTAATTAATATCTTATAGCTCAGCCTTAAATCTGACGTTGGAAATTGCTTTGTGGTTAGAGTCGTCTCAGATGCAGCCTCTTGTTTTGCACATGCTTTGACAAGTACACAGTTCTCTGCAGCAGAGCATCTTTCTTCTTGTTTTCATCCTGTCTTGCTGCAAAGATAAAAGCCTCCCGCTTCTGAAACGGCCCGCTGTGTAAGTTATTGTGACAGCGCGGAGGGGGTTGGAGAGGTGGAAGTGGGAGTCTGTAAGCCTGTGGGCAGCAGTGGCCCAAACAAAGGCCAAGCGCGGCCTCGCTGGCTCCAAAGTGGAATTGTCTTTCCTGGGGCTGAACTCTTTTCGTGCTGTCAAATGCGTCCGCTGTCCTGTCAGTCTCACTCATGGTTCAGTCACATCTGAGCAGGAGCTGTAACCTAACATCAATCTTGTGTTGAAAAATGACAGAAATGTAGTCATTTTGGTCAAACCTTGACAATATTGTGCTATGATAGCACTTTATTATCTCAGATGTGAACGACTGGCAGCTGCTATTGTTTGCTTAAAACTGTAACATTCAGAGTCATTTTGGTGTGACTGAGGCAGGCATCTTGTACTGAATCCAAAAGTTCATCTGTTGTAGACGTACAGTCATTGTTTTCTGAGAGTTTCAAGAAATCTGTCCAATGATTCATGAGATGTTTTGCTAACGGACAAACGGGGTCGACTTAGATGATACCAAGTTTTAAGCGACGAGGCCACGAAAAATGAAGTACGTGTTGGAGAAGATGCAAAGCATCACTGCACCAAATCTCAGCTCAACCTCAGTAAAACTGACCGAGTTATAATCACTTTAATGTTAGCTGTAGCGGCCATCTTGAATAGAGTAATTCAGTCGAGGGTATCAACCTAATGACTGCTTTCCAAAAGCTCCATGAAAACTTATTCAGTGACTCATGAGATGTTTGGCTTTTAAGAACAAACACACATTCACACACTTTAGACTTTGTGAATATAAAAAAAGACTTTATGACATTAGAAATACATCAGTTTGTGACAATACTGTGCACATGGTATTGAGAAAAAAAATCCATTTAATGTTCGGACCCAAAAATGGCTAAAAAGTGAACACTAACATGTATGTTTGTCCATCTGTTAGCAAAATATCTCACAGCCTACTAGATATTCAGTGAAACTCTCAGAACGTAATCAGCTGATTAAAGTTAAAGAATACCGGATTCAAGATGGCCACCACAGCTAGTTAACCTCAGCAAACAAAAGTTACCTGTAAGTTTGTCAGATTTGCAGGTGTGGAAGTAAAATCTGGTGTGGTGGTAGTTGAGTGTCATCCTCTGAGTGGAAACAGATCAAATGAAATCTTTTGTTAAAACTCTGGCATGTGAGGCAGTGGGGAATATGCATTTATTAATATTTTTTGCAATTGAAGTATAATTTTACACACTTCTCGATGTCAAGCAGGAGTTTTCTCAAAGCCAGATTGACAGCAAGCTTCGTTTGAACTTACTGCAGTGAAGAGGAGGAAGAATAAACTAAGGAGATGTATTTTATCTAGTCATTAAATATACACACAGTCGCTATTAAAGCAGCTATCGGTTATATTTTATCTTTGTTTCCTGTCTTTGTTACAAACAAGAAAAGATTTAGTCAATAATCTTTAGTGTTAACCTTTGAGATTGTGCAACTTTGTGTTTCATTTTGTGAAATGCAGCAAATAAATACTGCAGATAAAAGACACGACAGAAGGATGCTCGTTTTAAACCATGCGTTTTGCTCTTTGGTTTGACTTTGGTCCTCTGCAGTCAGAGGTACTGTATGTGCAATCCTGACGTGGTGCAGCAGTTCCACAACCCAGACACCATCTTCATCCTGGCCTTTGCCGTGGTCCTCCTCAACACCGACATGTACTCGCCCAACATCAAACCCCAGCGCAAAATGGGCCTGGACGACTTCATACGCAACCTAAGAGGTTAGTGTGCATTTCTGCAACACACGTGAGAGTGATGCTCTCAGAGACTCTTTTACAGGAGCAGCACTGTGGATCTTCCTCAGCAGGCAGAGTTGGTGTGATGAACAGCTGATACGCTTCAACATTTATGATGAGTGGGTTCACGAGCAAAGAGTTCCTAGATTGGATAAACCACAAGCGCCAACACACACACACACACAGACACACACACAGGTCTCAAACTGTAAATATTGAGGAGGCTCGAAATGCCAGAAAGACTGATGAGGAAGATGAAAATGAGAGCAGAGGGCAGGCTGAGCTGAGGTTTTACAACGAGCTGCCTCATATCCGCCTCACGATCAGTCTTCTGAGTGACGGCGTCTGGAACTGCGGGAAATTACTCAAAGAGGCTGCAGTTGCTGCCTGTTCTTACCGTCATCATAAAAACATCAGCATGAGATTCTTGATATCCTCGACTCTGAGCTCTGCTTCAGAGACCGCAGCACTGGTCCTGTTCATTAACTCACACAAGTTTAGGATTTACTGATGCAAAGAAGCTCATCTCCTACCATACAAATGGTGTTTTTGCCTTTGTCTGTTGTTTAGTCTTTAGCATTGGCAAAATATCTCATGAACCACAGGTTGGAGTTTAAAATAAACTTTAAAATGTATTCATTGGATGCACATCTATGACTAACTATCGGACTAAACCCCATTCAAGATGGCTGTCATAGCTAATCCAAATTATTCAACACAAAAATGGGTATAACTCAGTCAGTTTACAGTTACTGAGCCAAGATTTGTGTGGAAGTATCTGAGAGTTGTCCCCAACACATACTCAGAGACCCAACTCATCTTCAGAGACTTTGCATGAGATGACGTCACAAGATTTGAGCAAAAAGGCTTTGTCTCTGTCTCATCTCATGATAAGACGATCTTAGTTTAGAACGCAGACATGAGAAATGACAAGTGGAATACATTCCTTCAAGGAATGCTAATTGTAGTGACCGTATTTTTCCAGCGTATAAGCCACGTTTAGTATACGTCACCACTGACCCATTGTGTTTATTATATGTCACAGCTGACCCCCGAGAAAGTGGGCCGGTGTGCAAAAAAAAATTGATTGACTGCCAAAAATCGATAGGCGGCCACGCTCAGGATTTGCTGTTGCCGTTCTTCAAAATTTAACAAGATTAACACCTAAAAACAATTATTTGTTTGCTCGACATTATAGCAAATGTGTGTCTCAGTTTAACTTTTTCCTTAACAAATGCACTTTAATGGTCAATGTTTGGCGAGGGGGCGGCAGGGGTAATGGTACAGGAACAACATATACACCTACCGGTAGTTGTCAAAAGCTTAGAGTCCCTCTTACGCCTCTAGTGGCTGCAAATGTTGATGTTTACTCTGGTTCATGTTAGTATGAATGAACATTTAAAGCGTCAGTCAAAAATTGCATTATGAATATGGAAAAAAACATATATACTGTATATAAACTAAATTCAAAGATAACAAAATATAGACAAATAGCTCCTACAATAATACATATTATTACCTAGTGGTTCAGTATATAAAAAAATAGTTTATACCCAAAACAATCATTACAAAATACAAAGTAGTTAGCCTATATTTTATAAATCATTTAAATTTTTTATAACGAGTAACAATGGAGCAAAAGTGTGCACATATTCATGGATAACAACACATTTGCAAACCTCAACAACAACAAAAAAATAACCTAATTAGTCTGTAATCATTTTAAATGACGATACAGAAACTCTGCAGTCCTAAAGTTTAGACCTTTACTGCCTCTGGTGCTAATCTTTCTGTGAATCAGTGCACAAAATTGATTCAAACACAAAACTTTAAACGTGACAATATCAGCGGACTGTCAGAGCAAGGTGATGATGGAGCACTCCGACGCAGAGCAGCAGGCATGAGGAGCAAACATAAAACTTTCCTGAGTTACTAAGAGGAGCCGAGAGCCCTACAGCACAACTGAAGCCAACAAGTCAAATAAATCCTCCAACAGACGGTAATCCAAAATGCAGCAGACAAGACCCAAAGCAGAAGAAACAAAGATCTGGCAGTGAGATAGACTATATACTGACAGAACTAATGACAAATCAAGAACGGGTGAGTTTCCATCAGCAAACAGCAGTGAGATGTAGCAACGTCAGCAGTAAAACTAAATGCACTCAGGACAAGAGTTAAATAAAAGCAATGGCCAATAACAAAAAAGGTTAAATCGTGTCATATGGACCAGTTTCTTTAAGTGAGAAACTTTTTTGTCCACCATCCAGAGGACTTCCTCATTCTATGGCCTGCCAACCAGACCTGTCCTGTAGGTAACCTTCACTGCTGTGCTTCAAGCAGAGCTCTTGTTGGAATGATCTTTATAAAACTAAGATCGACCTATAAATAAACCAGGAGCTGATAACAGAACAGAGCAGCAGTTCAATGAACCACAGAACAAAATCCAAACTCAACAAAAACTGACATGAACTGAAGTAAAAACAATACTTTCAAGTTATTTTAATTTAAAAACCAGCATAAATAGAGGTCCCAAATAAATTCAACAATACAATGCATGAAGTCCATCCATCCATCCATTATCTTTACCTGCTTCTTGTTTTCTGGGTTGCGGGGGTCACTGACGCCCATGTCCATCTATCACTGTGTGAGAGGCGGGGACACCCTGGGCAGGTCTCCAGTCCATCACAGGGACACCAATCAGCCTAACATACATGTTTTTGCTCTGTGGGAGGAAACCAGAGAACCCAGAGAAAACCCATACATGCACAGAATATGCAAACTCCACCCTGAAAGCCCCCCAGCAGGGATGCCTCTTTCTTGCTGAGAGGCCACAGCTCTACCAACTGAGTCACCGTGCCACCAATGAAAGAAGCTTTCTTTTTTTTGTCATAGATAGATTATTAATCCCGGGGGGGAAATTTGAGTCTTCTACTTCTTCATCATCTCCTGCTTGAAGATGACTTCAGTGTGCTGACATTTAGCAGAAATTAGCTTTGTGCACCGTGGAGTGTTTCAGGGATAGGCATTCATTTAGACTTTATAAAAAAGAGGAACATATTTGAGTTTTTATTGATGCCGAACTCATAGTAGACGGGTACGCTTTCAATATTTGAAGTTTCATTTCTCCTCAACAACCTCTCCTTGAATCCTCTCAGGTGTGGACGATGGAGCAGACATCCCCAGGGAGATGGTGGCAGGAATATATGAGCGGATCCAGCAAAGAGAGCTGCGCTCAAATGAGGACCACGTCACCTACGTGAGTCGGGTGGAGCAGTCCATCCTGGGCCTGAAAACGGTTGGTAACAGCAACGATCCTGTGCAAGACGCCTTCATTTTCTTCACATACAGTACTTGTTTTTAGCGAGTCTCCTTCCTCCGTGTGATGTATGATCTTGTCCTCTGCATGGTTCGAGCTGTCATCTTCATCTCTCTTTGACCTGGTTTCTGCAGATCCTTGCTGTACCCCACAGACGTTTGGTGTGCTGCTGCCGCCTGTTTGAGGTGCCTGATGCAAACAAACCTCATAAACAGAAACTTTCCCAGCTCCAAAGAGAGGTCTTTCTCTTCAATGACCTGCTGTTGGTAAGACATCCAGTGTTACTGTGCAAAGCAAGCTTTTGTTCCATCATACTGAATGTGATCATGGCCACAATAATAAATAAGAGAGATTGCAGTGCTCACACTGAGTGCTGAATTACTTTCCTGACCAAGCTGAAACTGAGATGTTGGACAAAAAACAGAACACTAGCTAAAAGCTTAAAGTTACAAAAGGCTAGCTTAAACCTATGCAAATGTTGTCAAATGCTAGATAAAAGCAGCAAAGTGTTAGCCAAAACATAAAATTATCTAAAAGCTAGCTAAAAGCTAAAAGTAGCAAAAGGCTATAGCTAATAGTATCAAAGGGCTAGCTAAATACAAAATGTAAAAGGATGGCTAAAAGCTAAAAGTATCAAAATTTTGGGATGCAGGTGGATCAGTTGGTAGAGATGTTGCCTCTCAGTGAGCAGGTTGCCGGTTCAAATCCTGGCCGGGGGCTTTTCTGGGTGGAGTTTGCATGTTCTCTTCGTGCTTGTGTGGGTTTTTGCCGGGTACTCAAGTTTCCTCCCACAGACAAAAAATTGCATGTTAGAGTGATTGGTGACTCTAAATTGTCCGTAGGTATGAGTGAGAGAGTGAATGGTTGTTTGTCTCATTTGTGTCCCTGTGATGGACTGGAGACCTGTCCAGGGTGTCCCCTGCCTCTTGCACAGTGATAGCTGGACATGGACACCAGTGACCTCTGTAATTCAAAAAGGAAGACGCGGGTAAAAGACGATTGACTGATGGCTGGTATTAACAAATCAAGCAAAAAGTATCAAAAGGCTGGTTAAAAGTTAAAAGTACTGAAAAACTAGCTAAAAGCTAAAAAATAACAACAGTTTTTTATACAGTCAAAAGATAGTATTATATTATATTACCAGTATATTAAATTATATTATATAATAATAATAATAATAATAATAATAATTATATTATATTATATTATATTATATTATATTATATTATATTATATTATATTATATTATCCATCCATTATCTTTACCCGCTTATTCCATTTTGGGTCACGGGGGTCACTGGTGCCCATGTCCAGCAATCACTGTGCGAGGGGCGGGGTACACCCTGGATGGGTCGCAAGTCCATCACAGGGCCACATAGACAAACGAGACAAACAACCATTCACTCTCTCATTCACACCTAGGGACAATTTTAGAGTTACCAATCAGTCTAACATGCATGTTTTTGGTCTGTGGGAGGAAACCGGAGCACCCGGAGAAAACCCACGCATGCACGGAGAGAACATGCAAACTCCACCCAGAAAGGTCCCTGGACCGGGGTTTGAACCAGGAACCTGCTCGCTGAGAGGCAGCAGCTCTACCAGTTGCGCCACCGTGCTGCCTATTATATTATATTATATTATATTATATTATATTATATTATATTATATTATATTATATTATATTATAGTGGGAGCTGTGTCTGTCCTTCAGCAGTTTTTAGCTCAACTCCTCTTAAACCTTTTCAAAGAATTTGATGAAACTTGGTGGGAAGTATTATGGTGATGAAAGGCTGCATGTTGCCAGCATTTTCTGCTGCACTCTTTCTTACCAGAGTTATGGCTCTAACTCAATTTATTGGACAGCATGCATTACAGTTTTTATAAAGCTTATTTATTCCTTAAATTAAATTAAGACAATTTGAGTAATGACAACAGCACAGATGCCTGATTGATTTGTAGGGAAATTATATTTAATAAAAGTTTCTGCTTAAATCTAAGTAGGTTTAAATATATTTGATCTATTGCTTTAACTTGTGGTGCTCTTGTTAAACAACTGAAGAGATTACAATTAATTTCTATGGGGGAAAAATGTTAAATAACTGTATTTTAAAATGCATAAAAGTGACAAAAACCAGAACTCAGAGCACTTATCCCCTGAATGAGCTGAATGTTTTGATACACAATTACAAACCGGATTTCAAAAAATATTTTATTCAGAATAGAACACAAATCACAGATCAAAAGTTTAAACTGAGAGATTGTATCATTTTAAGGGAAAAATCTGTTGTTTCCAAATTTCATGGCATCAACAAATCCCCAAAATTTGGGACAAGTCCATTTTTACCACTGTGTGGCATCTCCCCTTCTTCTTACAACACTCAGCAAACGTCTGGGGACAGAGGAGACCAGTTGCTCAAGTTTAGAAATAGGAATGCTCTCCCATTCATGTCTAATACAGGCCTCTAACTGTTCAATCGTCTTGGGCCTTCTTTGTCGCACCTTCCTCTTTATGATGCACCAAATGTTCTCTATAGGTGAAAGATCTGGACTGCAGGCTGGCCATTTCAGTACCCGGATCCTTCTCCTACGTAGCCATGATGTTGTGATTGCTGCAGAATGTGGTCTGGCATTATCGTGTTGAAAAATGCAGGGTCTTCCCTGAAAGAGATGACGTCTAGATGGGAGCATATGTTGTTCTAGAACCTGAACATAGTTCTCTGCATTAATGGTGCCTTTCCAGACATGCAAGCTGCCCATGCCACAAGCGCTCATGCAACCCCATACCATCAGTGATGCAGGCTTCTGAACGGAGCGTTGATAACAACTTGGGCTATCCTTGTCCTCTCTGGTCCGGATGACATGGCGTCCCAGCGTTCCATAAAGAACTTCAAATCGTGACTCATCTGACCACAGAACAGTCTTCCATTTTGCCACACTCCATTTTAAATGACCACTGGCCCAGTGCAAACGTCTGAGCTTGTGGAGCTTGCTTAGAAATGGCTTCCTCTTTGCACTGTAGAGTTTCAGCTGGCAACGGCAGATGGCACGGTGGATTGTGTTCACTGACAACGCTTTCTGGAAGTATTCCTAAGCCCATTCTGTTATTTCCTTGACAGTGGCATTCCTGTTTGAGGTGCAGTGACGTTTAAGGGCCCGGAGATCACGAGCATCCAGTAGAGTTTTACGGCCTTGACCCTTACGCATAGCGATTGTTCCAGATTCTCTGAATCTTTTGATGATGTTATGCAAAAGGAAATATTGAATCAACATATTTTTCCTTTAAAATGTTACATTTACTCAGATTAAACTTTTGATCTGTCATCTATGTTATATTACGAATAAAATATTGACATTTGCCATCTCCACATCATCGCATTCAGTTTTTATTCACAACTTGTTTAGTGTCCCAACTTTTTTGGCTTCCGGTTTTTAGTAAAAATAGCTCAAAGCATGCAGAAGTAGTTCGATTACAAACATTGTAAAAAAACAAAAAACAAAACTCTAAACCAAGAATAGTGCGCGTGTCGACTCAGCATCCCACAAGACAATCCATTTTGTGGCTTTAAGTGCAGTCGTCTTGTTTGTGTTTTCAGATCCTGAAGCTGTGTCCCAAGAAGAAAAGCTCGGCCTCGTATACTTTCTGTAAAGCTATGGGTCTTCTGGGAATGCAGTTTCACCTCTTCAGCAATGAGTGTAAGATGCTGCTTTACTTTGCAGCGATTTATTCCCATCATATTCAAAGTGTTGTGCTCAAAAACTGCTGAGCTGGCAGAGACATCTGCATTACTGCTCCCCTTCAACTCGGTCTCGGCACTCAGACTGCGAGGGGTCGCATAAAACACAACACACAAATTAGAGTAGATGTTTTTTTTATTAAATGTGCTTCTGCTAACAAATTTAGTTGTATTTCTAAAACAGATATTATTGCATATACTCCCCCTGCAGCTCTTTATACTTAACTTATGTAACTTTGGGGGAAAAAGGATTTAATAATTTAAGATTCTCTGCCTCATGTATAATTATGTGGAAACCTATAAAACTTGACTTGTAGTCTCTCAAAAAATAACAATAAGGGGACAAAATTCACATGTCCCTTTTTTATTTGATATCTCAGATGTCCTGCAGTATTTTATCCTTTCATCATCAGACAAGTGAATGAGGTTTTGATCCACTTTACTGGGTGGGAAGGAGCTGTTCAGAGACATTATGAAAGGAAATGGAGAAAATCCAGCTAAACTGTCAGCCGGGTGAATAAAACACAGTCCAAAACATGAATGAAATATTTATAAGGCTTATGACGGAGGAGCTGTAACATCCTGTCAAAAGGTTGAAGCAAGTGGAAAACTGGAAGCAGGTATGTGAAAGCTCACAACGTCAGCAAGTTACTGAAGAGGTAGTAAAAGTCCGAAGATGTCTGATGATGAATGGATAAAGACTGACACAGCAGGGTTAGAAATCCACAATCAAGATCTGGAGTTGTGACAAACTGGCTGCATTTGGATCAGCAGAGAACAAGCTCTGTTTGAGAAGCACGACATCAGTCAACCTGCGCTGGATCGATACCTTTGGACAGTGGGAGCAGTTCCACGCTCGAGTCAGAGAGGCTGTTTTTACTCATAGACAAGTCATTGGGAATTTGATTTCCACAAGACCTGACTGGAATCTGGTTTGTGCTGCAAACCAGTCTTTAGGATTCTCATCATTATTTGGGACTGGGGGGGTCAAAATGGCTCCAAACGTCTCCTGGGACCAGGTCTCTGTTAGTTAAATACATTCTTGTTTTGCGTTAGCGTCTATAGACTTTAACGTTGTTTTATTATCGTTTTTGGTACCACTTTAAAATAAATTTTATTTTGTAAAATACCAATAAATAGATAATAATGTTGTTATCAATAAGGCTATAAACATAATATACTATTAATAAACCTTCATGTTGTAGGTTGCCTTTAGTTGTTGCTCTTGTTTTGGTGCTAAAACATTTCCTGAGTTTGTTCCCTGATTGATTCCATTAGACTTTGTTCCTGCTCTCCCATCACACCTGGTCCTGGTTTGGATTGGCTCTGATTAAAAAGACTTCATGTTAGACCTGAGTCTCTAGTTTTCATTCTTATTGACATGACTTTAAAAGGATTGCAGTGAGCTGGGCGAGTTGAAGTCAACCCACTGCTGTTTGGCCCCTGAGCTACCAGCTGACGTATTAACAAAGCCCAAGGTCTATGTGTACAACCGTAGGCCAGGATCTTGGCTCGAGGGTGTGTTGTATTGATGACACAGCCGGTGCAACTAGCCAGCTACTGGGTTTAAAGAGGAAATGTCTGACACACATCTCATGTTTTTCCAACCCAACACCGCTACGTTACACACCTCGCCTCCTATGGTTTCCATCGCTGGCTTCATGAATGCATCATGACGGTACATGGCCGACTTAGCTGGTGAGTTACAAACAACCAGAAGCAGCTCAAAGAGGGGCTGGTATTTGCAACCATAAAACAGAATAGTTTTGTGAAATAGGACTTTGTTTTCTCATTTGTTGTTGTTTCACCGGTGACCTTGAGAGTTTTTAATTATAAATGGAATGATAAATGGACTGTACTTATATAGCGCCTTTCTATTTTATCAAGATACTGAAAGCTTTTTACAACACAATCTGTGTCCTTATTATTTATCTATTCATACAGCACTCTACTATATCTGTACAAAGATTAATCAGAGCTTTGTCACATTCATACACCGATGGGACACACATCAGAGGCAATGAGGAGTTCAGTGTCTTGCTCAGGGACATTTCAGTATGTGACTGCTGGTGGAATCAAACCCCTAACCCTTGCAATGGCGGCAACTGCTCTAACCACTCAGCCACATGCCGCCCTGGCATGGTCCTTGTTTATTTTTTTTTTATTTTTAAACTGTTTTTAACATGTTTGAAAATTTTCTCTTTGTCTCTGCACTGTTTTTATTAAATAAAAGTTTAAATAATTTCTTAGTAGCCTGTTTGCCTGCTCTAGTGCCTGCATTTTGGTCCTCCTTCCACCACTTCATGACAGTTACCATAGGAAAAAATCAACAAATAGTAAAGTCCCCCAACAAGGCTCATTTATATTCTGCTAGGAATTGGTAACTTTGAGTACTAAGAATGAGTGGTTGCAGTTAGTAGACTTTATTAGACGTTTTTCTTGCCATGGTGGCCACTGAGAGGACCAGATTATTAAAAAAAAAAGTGGGCATTATTGGCCTTTATTTAAAAGTGAGGACCAGGAATGTGTGCTACGAGATGTATAAAACACCATAATATTTTAAAAATTCCCACCAAGGTATTTGTAAAAACTGCAATATAGTGAATACACATTTTTTATTGTCTCTGATTTTCTGATCAGATTATGCTCATGGTGTCACTATGATGAGCCCATTTACCTCAGAGAAGAAGCAGCTGGTGAGTTTCTGCTCTCCGAGCGGAGAGGAGCTCAGGAAGTTTGCGGAGGAGCTCAGGGAAGCTATTGCAGAGGTCAACGAGATGGAGCAGATACACATCCAAAGTAAGAGAAGAAGCACCGTGTCTGCAAATATAATGAAACATGTCACCGTGTAGCTGAATGCAAGCACTCTTTGCTCTAGTGGAACTGGAGAGGCAACAAGGCATCCAGCCACATGTTTTACACACCAACGGCGGTCAAATGGACACACACACCGGACATGGCTCTCCCTCAGGTATTGGTTTTGCTTGTATAGCATAATACAGCATACATTACCTAAATGTCAGCCCCCATCCCCATATGAGAGCTGTTTTTTGCTTTTCTGTACATGGATATGCCTGCTGACTAACAAAGAACCCGTTTCTCCCCACAGGCCAACAGGATGCGTATGATAAAACCGGCAACAACAACACAGTAGAGGTGAGTGCCTAAGCTACTCTCGTCTCCCTCAGGTAAGTATCTGCATATCCAGCTCTGTTGATGTGGTTTTGTATGTGAGTGTGTGTGTGTTGTTAGACAGGGACTGTGCCTCATCCTGAAAAGACAGAGCTTTTTGCTTTGCGCTGGTAAAGCTCTGCCTGCAGCACATCACTACTAAGCAGCCAAGGATACAAAGGCCACTAAGTGGTAGTGGTGCTGCAAACAGCCTCGTTCATTCTGGACCTCATGAGCGGACCAGCCGCCACTCGCTATGAAACACACCCATCTCTCATGAGCTAAATCTTGCCAGTGTTACCATTTAAGAGCCCATAAGCCTCATTGGCTCCTTGAATACCATCAAAGGTAGACAACAAAGGTAGATAATCTCAGAGATGCACCAATTGCTTGGCAGGTGGCTGGAATCAGACAATTATCAGCTTTGGACTGGAAATCAATATTTTTTTCTTCCAATGTGAAAACAGACCACAGTAAAGCAGCTAATTCTTGCCATCATCATCATATCTTCTGTCTGTAGGTTTTATCTTTGTGACTAATATAGCTGAGATTTACCAGTTTAATAGTTACTAATGTCAAGTTGTAATTCACCATTTGTTACAATTAAATAAATGGCGATTGTGAATGGGTGATTCATCGAACACATACGTCTTGGCCTTGGGACACCGGGGAATCACAGGGGCTGCTGTGGCTGAGATCAGTGTCGAGGCCGATGGCTGGATTCTGTTGCAGCAGTGGCAGCAACGTGATCCGGATGGTCTGAGCTCAATGTATGTAGCTAACACGGCAATGACTGGAGCTGTTGCAGCTGCCAGCAGCTTGAGGAGCTAAGAAGAGCTGAGAGTCTGAGAAGTTGTGTCGTGCTGGAGGATCAGAGGTGTTTGGCCATACAGTGAAGCTCCTCTTGGTGGACGAGGGTTTAATTGTCAAATGAATTCCTGAGAAGAGATATCTCCTTTCTTCCTCAACCACCATTATTACCATTTAAAAAAAAAGGTTGAATGAAAAAAGAGGCGAGGGAAGAATCTCTAGCTCTAGACTGCAGTGATGAGGTTGACATCTTAGTGTTGAGGTTCCCACCTGAAAACCCCTGCACTGCATCACAGGTGGCTTTATCTCTGGTGGTACAGAGGCTGAACATGAGAGTTCCATCTGAAACTTATCAGGTGAGGAGACGTTGGGGCCCCAGAAACCATCTTATCACCAGCAAACTGGTTGGTCCACTATGTGAGTGTGCTGCTTGTGGGACTCAGTTTGTTTGTGGTCCCTCGGACTGATGAAGTCCTCTGGATGGAGGATACAATGTCTCAAAAAAAAAAAAGAAACCATCCAGATGACCTGACTGAACTTTGTTGGACCTCTTGTTAAAGTTTTAAAGTTATATTATTTATTCAGGTGAGGATATTTTAAACAAAGGCAAGCAGCCACCAGCTCAGAGACAGGAACAAATTGACAATTACTGTAACTTTTAGAAAAGATGTGCCACCTAAAACAATGACTCTAAATGCTAAAAAATGGGCGCAAGTGAAAACATTCATTCTACTGAAGGTTAGCTACTGATCTGGGTCTTGATAAAGCTTTTCTGAGATCTGGATCCAGACTGTGGTCCACCATTTTAAGGACCCCTAATAAAGGCTATACCTCTTATTTATAGTTTTTACAGAGAAAATGGAATTGACAAACTTTACATAAATCGTAAACCACAAAGTTCTTTAGAAGCTGCATTTGGTGCATCTCTAGTGATTTTGTCAACAGTATGTCAGGAGAGTGTGATTCAGTTTGGCGTTCTTTGTAAAACCAGTCCTTTTATAAAAGAGGACGTTATTTTTCCCCCTTATTTTACTTATTATACCCCTCTCCTCCCTTTTCCCTCTGCTCCTTTCTTAGCCTCAGAGTTGTAACTTCTTGTGTTAGGGAGACACCATGCCCTCGGTGTCACCTCTGTCCTTTCCTGACACTCCGTTTATCTTTAGGTCTATCCTTCTGCCACCCATCGTCCTTTATCGCACACTCACACACACAAAACACAGCGTTCCTGCAAGAATTCCTGACTAAAATCTCTTCTTACCCCACAATCCTTTTCTCCTTCTGGGCTGTGTAAAATATGAATAAGCTGAAATCGTGTTTGAGTCAAATGAGGGAAAGCTGGAGAGTGTGTCTTCTGCATGCACTTGCACTGCATGCTACCACCTGCATGCCAGCATGCCCGTGTGCGTAACTCACCAGAGGGCTGCGTGGAGGCTGCGTTCAGGCTGGTAACTCCTGGTGCGTTCTCTGACTGTTCCTAAACTAGGTGTCAATTCACAACAGGCTGCAGACGTATCAGCTGAGCCAGCCCAGCATTGAGTCGGTGCCTCTGGCCCTGGCTGCGCCACCCGCTCTCCTCAGCCCCATCCAGGCCAGAGATCTCTGCCCAGAAACGCTCATCCAGTGCCAGCAGATCGTCAAGGTGATTGTCGTGGACCAGAGCGGGCGAGGGCGGATGGAAGCCTTCCTCAGTCAAGGCCCGGCTGCCCACCAGCTCATCCAGTCCGCCATGTCGACACCCGTTCGTGTCAGAGAGGGAGACGGACCCCAACCTCCTTTGCCGCCTCCCCCTCCTCCTTACAACCACCCCCACCAGTTCTGTCCACCTGACTCACCCATGCCCTTTCACCACACCATGCCTCTGACCCGCAGGCGTAACTCCAGCGGCTCTCGCAGCATCGTTTGAGGTGACCTCTGTGCTGGAGATGACTTTTACAGCACGTGGCGGAGCACAAGTTGACTCACTCTGAATACAAGCAGCGCAAAAAAAAAAAGAAGATAAGACAATACTTTATGAATTAAAGGAAAAATAAATTAAGAATCTGTCATATTAGTCCTGATTGTTGTTTCACAATGGAGTAACTTTCACGGCAGTTCTGAAAGAAACGTCATCCCTGTTTTGTTTCCAACGTGTCTCCTGGTGACTTGTCTTCATTTCACAGATTTATAACGTCACCTGTCCAAGAAACTCTGAGAGGACACTTTACTAAATGTGAAGAACAAAATGTGTCTGTTGCTTTAGTTCAGGACACTGATGTTTGGTGTGAACCTTTATTTGAAACCGTGTTTCACGAGAAATCATTTCAGCACTCTGCATAATGTGAAGAAACAAGAGTACCAGCTTAGTTGTTCCCTTGTTTTCCAGGGAACAGGTAATCAGTATGCGAACAAGGAGATGAGGGGAAACAGAAAAAAAAAGATAAATGGCTCTGTCATCGCTACAATGTCACGTGCAATTTGGAGTAGTAAGCAAAGGTGTTGCTACTCAATAACTTAAAACAATTTTCTGAAGACAATCATGTTTCTGTGCTTCATTGTGTGTTTTGCTCAAATTGTCGTAGCACAAATAGCGCCTCAGTGCTCTGATTCAGTGGAGTGTTGCTCTGACAGAGCTCAGGAAAAACAGCAACATGTATTACTGTATCTGCACCTCTGAGCTGCACTGGGAGCAGAGAGTGTGAGCTCTGTTTGTTCAGTCTGCTTACTTTTGGGCCACAGGGAATCGAGCTGGTAATTCATTCAAAACAAGGCTAAAACGGGCAAATAACTCTTTTCCTTTTCTGTGTGTTTGCTCCTCTGAATACCTGATGTGAGTATTGATGTTGCTTTAGGATTTAAACTATGCCTCTGCCCTAATTTATCTTTTTTTAATAAGCTATATTTGACATTTTAAATGATGCTACACAGGGTAGAAGCATCACAGAAAAACATGAACTCGTGTTTTTTTAAAAAGCTCAAATAAGCAAAGACTCATTTCAGTACTGAATGTGAAAACGATACTTCAGCTCTTCTGAAGTGAGGTTCCTGTGGAAAGGTTGTGGACAGTTAATATCTTACCTGCTTTAGATAGAGGCTGACTGATATGAGTTTTTGTTGGCCATTGATTTGGGCAGCCAATAGCCAATTTTTGTTTTGGTGGGTTCAGTTATATAAAACATAAAATGATTGTAAATTTCCCCCTTGGGGGATGAATAAAGGTTCATGTTATTTTAAATAACGATGACTGCTTAACTTAAAATAAACATATATTTAGAGCTATTATTTTCTATTTAGAAGAACTTGTGAACTTAAAGATAATACGTAGCACAATCTCACATTAACAAAAAACTAAAATGTTGGCCACAGTAAAGAGGCTCGCCAACTATCAGCCAGATAAAACCAGTCTATCTCTAACTGTAGATTGCTTTTGAACAACTTTAGTTAGAAAAAAAACAAGAGATTCAAGATGTTTAATGACACACTTTGGTCAAACTAGTCATCAATTCAAACAAAATAAACCATTTCTCCTCACTGAGATTGTTCAAAGAGCAACAGGTAAGATATTAATTGGTCCAAACGTTTCCGTCTTACCCCACTTCAAATATTTCTGAACTATCCCTTTAAATAAGAGGGAAACCTGAAGATGTCTATGACCTTATCTCGTTGTTTCATCACTGTGTTGTCTGTTCAGCGATGATGATTTTTAGGCTTGAGCCGATATGTGCAGCACATCATAAGTCATCCAGCAGACAGATTCTTTTGCACCACAGAATATATTGGATATACTGTAAATAGATATCATAGATTTATTATGAAAAAAAAGTGATTGGTTTGCCCAGTGTGTGTATCTATACGTACGTTATTTGTACAGAGAAAATCTAGTTTAAAACAGAAAAAAAAAGAGTATTATAGTTAATATAGTTAGCATTTATCACCAGGGGATGTCTTAAATGCTACCCTAACGAGAGGCAGGAAACAGGCAGTTTTTTCTAGACTCCACTCCTGTTACCACGGCAACAAACACTGACATTAATACTGATCAACATCCATTATTAAATTACCATGTCATGTTATTACAGTGCTACAATGAGATGGCTGTTTTACCTGTTTAGGTGTGTAAAGGGCTACGCTGTACTGGTAAACTACAATAAAACTGCATCAGGCTCACACACACAAACACACACACAGATTTTTAATTAATGCGCTCACACAGTCAGCTAACTTCCTGATTTGTGAAGTCATCTGCCCCTTTTTGCTTCTTAGAAACTCAGAGCGACACGTACGATATCGCATGAACTTTATTTTTTGTTTTCCGACGAGTATTTTTTTTTTTAATTTGAAGCACAAAGAAGAATCTGGATTTTATGTTTGCATCATTACTGTCAGGGCATGTTGGGTTGATTGATGTCATTTTCTCCTCCCTTTCTACTCCCTCCCTCTTTTCCCGCCCCATCCCTACTCTTCCTCATTTCCGTGGTTGTCATGGAGACGCAACCTCTCCGTGGAGCACTGTCAATTAAGCTTTGCACCCTCACAATGTTTCTTAGCAAGGAAATTTCTTAAAGATCAACACGTTTCCTATTGGAATTTCTAATTTTTTTTTTTGGTTTAGTTTTTTGTTTGAAGAGAATGAAAGAATAAAGTAGTTTTTACTCTCAGCCCGTCTGTCTGTCTGCTTCGTTATGGCGAATGCCTGCATCTCACTGCCCTCCTAATGAATGAATGGATTTGCACCAGGTGCGGTAGAAGATTGGAATAAAGGAGTTTACGAGAAAATCAGTCCACGACAAGGTCCCTGCGCTGTCCCAGTCCACCAGGTGAACCGATTCATTCGAGAACACAATCAACTCAAAACCAAACCTGAATCTGATGCGCCTGGTTGTCTTAATGGATCTTTGCGTGCATCGCTGTGCCTTCATGATATGAATTAAACAAAATTCAGAAGGCCACAATGGTTGCTTTAGATCCAAAGAGGCAGGAGCACTTGTTTAAAAGTTATGAACTTGCTAGATTATTATTTAACCATTTAACTTTTCTGAGTGAAATGACACAAAAGAAATGACATCTCTGATAGGAGCCTTTTAAAATATCTAAATGCTAAAAGAACCAGAGCTACAATCTTTTCCTTCTCATCTCCTTTTGTATAAAAATGGTCCATCTATTATGAAAAGAATGAAGATGATGCTGCTCCAGGATTCCTTATAGCCACATGCGTTCACATCAATCAATGCTTAGCTGTTTTCATTCAGTCGTACAGATTTTTTTCTTTTCTTTTTTAATTTTTATTTTTTTCCTTTTTTCCTCTTTTTTTCCCCTTTTTCTTCTTTTTTTTCCCCGTTTTTTTTTTTCTTTTTCTTTTTTCTCAGTCATACAGATTAAGATTCAGGTTATTAAATTTGGTGACCACAGCGACTATGAGCAACTAGTGACTTTTGTGTTCTTTTCTTCTTCTCCTTGAAAAATGGTCAACAGTGGTAATTAGGAAATGTATGATTTTATAGTAATATGGTTTATAGCTTTATATTTCTTACATAAAACAACAAATCCAGCCATTAAACAAAGTATGACATGGGCTTTTATAGCTTATTATGGACTGTGTTACAACTTATCATCTGAAAGTGTAAGTTCAGATCTTTGCAAGAGGTTTCTATGGAAAAATTGGTCAATCCCAACAATCTCTTTACTGTATTTTTTGGACTATAAGGCGCATTAAGCAAATAAAACGGATAAGTCAAACTTTATTCAACTCATTCACAATAACTACATAAAATCAGCTCGAGGTCAGTAAGCACAACCAGAATTAATACATAAGGCACACCTGATTATAAACTCGCTATCGATTTTTGAGAACATTAAAAGATTTTAAGTGCGCCTTATAGTCCAAAAAATTCGGTAAGTTCTTAAACATTTCTTTAACCATGCTTACTGGATAATAACGTAGTTCCCATTAAGATTAAAGCGAAGTATTTAAAAAAAAGACAAAAAAACGAACATTTTAGGAATATCTGATCGGTCCCCAGTAATTTTCTTGTTAACTGTTTCTTTGTTTTCATTTGATCACTTTTCTTATTTTGTTTTGTATGTTCTATACTGTTTGTCATTTGAAGCAGAGGGGAAAATAGATTTTTTTGCTCATCTCTCCTTTAGTAAGACTTGTTTGATTTTTTTAGGCAATTTACTGAGCTTTTATTTTGTAGAAGTACAGACACAATTACAACTGTGGGTAGTGTGACAAAGGTGCAAAAGAACTAATGCTATGTTTAGTTAATATTTAAATGCACATTTGCTTATTTTCTTATTTTAGCAAACTAATAGGCAGATATGCAAATAAGCTTCACTGTAAAGTTGCTGACAATAAGTAATTATTCAGGAGCTGCGCTTTCTGTGGGGGAGAACAACTCCCATTTGTGCAAACGTGGCCTTTGTTAATCTGCAGCTATACAGTATTTCATCAGTAAAAATCACTGAAGAAGAAAAAGCATAATTTAACTCTGTTCTTTTTATTAGACAAACATCCCAACCCTCTCTTCAATCAAAAAATAACAGCACTACAAGATTATTCTTGTGAATTTTCCATTTCATTATCAAAAGCAGTTACACATTTGACAAAGGTGAGTTCAGTGTGGGAGAACTTGTAAAGTTTTACTGTCAAGTATCAAGGCAGAGTGAAAAATACATTTCTTTTATTCTTGCAAATCACTCTAGAGGAAAGGTGCACTCCGACACAAACAGAGTTACAAAGAAAGAGAAAAATACAGTTTTTTGGCTGAATAAATAATCTTACAAAATATAGAGTAATTCATACATTTGTGCAAAGTACCTGAAGGCGTACAGATGAGATAAAGCTCTCCCAGTCAGCGCATTCTCTCTTCTGTCCCTGTCTTTTCTGAAAGTCTTGCCCCTCATCTTGTTTCTCTTCTCGTTTATGGAAACAGGTGGACAAGACATGCATTAAAGTAAAAAAAAAAAAAAAAAACTGGGTGGAGAACAGGACTTAAAGAGGAGCATTTAAGTCCTTATTAATCTCCTGCACTTTCGTCTTCATTCTTAAAGTGTGCTGCTCAGTCGCGTTCCTCTTCGAGGTCTCGCAACCCACAGAAACAACAACTCTAACAGGCGTCCCACCTGGTTGGTCTTTCACATTGTGGTCTCCTCCCATTCTAGTTCAACATCACCTAAAAACCAAAGTGAAATGAGCATTTTGCGAGACACATTTGTTTCTCTGAGCACGTGTGCTCGTGTTGTTGTTTACCTTCCATGGCGTCCAGGGAGTCCATCTTCTCCAGAGCAGAATAGTTAACAAACCAGATGGACTGGCTGTTGCCTTTGTTGTTCAGAAGTTCCAGCGTGCTTTGGTGTAAGAAGATGTACTGGACCTGACAACACAAACACACACGGACACAGACCAGATGTTATTTTATTTTGAGCAGATGCTCAAAGCAATATCCTCCTCACAAACCAGTGGGGTAAAAAATACACTTTAAATCTGAATTATGCTGGCTCATATCTGATTAGGCTGCTTGATTCATTTTCAATCACACAAATCTGTCAGAGCCATTTGTTGATTTGTGTAAACTGCTAAACAACGGCTCTATTTAAGGAACCCCCAAAAGTCCAAACTGTGATGTGCAACATCGAAACTGGGTCTTAATGCTGTAAAGTTGTAGCAAATTAAACATTCTCCATCTTTTACTGTGTGTCCAATAAGTTTACTACAGCACAGAGAAGATTGATGCTGCGAGTGCAACAGAAATAATCAAGAGGTAAAGGCCTTCCTTAGTCTTTTGCTCCTCGAGTTTCATGCCAGAGTTTTAAAATAAATCATCTTATGTATGAGGAGAAATCACTGCATTGTAGCCATTTAATCAAACCTTGAAAACAATCTTAAACTCAGAATATGTGTTGTAAATGACTCTCAGCTACTAACACATCAAATTGTAGCTCAGTATATGTAAAACTGACTGAATTATGGCCATTTTTGTGTTGGCTAATGTGGATTAACTGTGTTGGCCATCTTGAATTGGGTGGACTCCAAAAATGAATTAGTTGTAGATGTACACCCACATACGCAGTGTAGTGGTATAGTACGTGGTATCACGTGGTATAGTGTACCCACTATACATCACTTACCAAAACGTTAATTTAAATCCATCCAGTGCTTCAAAAGATATTTTGTTGACAGACAGGTAGATTTGACTGTAATATCTGATCGCAAAATAAAAATAAAAAAGACCTTGTGCAATCAGTTAGTCTTCAGAAAATATGTTGGACATGACTCTTAGCAGCTACTACACTTAACTTTGGTTCAATATCTGTAAAATTGAGTTGGCAACTTTTGTGCTTGCTATGATCAGCTGACTATCATCTTAAATAGGGCTGGCTTTAAAGGGTAATCAATTGTGGACGTACAACCAATGATTATTTCATGAAAGTTTCATTAATATTGGTCCAGTAGTCCCTGGGACATTTTGGTATCAGAGACACATGAATACACAGAAACAGGCAAAAACATTATCGCCTTTGCCGTTCTGCAGCAGGCGATAATAAAAGAGAGCAGGAAAACAAAAGCTAAACCTTTGAAGTAAAACAAGAGCACACGTTTATAAAGACTGACTGTGCTGGTAAATGCTGATGTTGGATAAAATTCACTTTCAATCATTTTTTTTTTTCTAAAAAGTTAGACCAACCTGCAAATGTCTTCAAAGCACAGGTTTAATATTCATAAAACTCTTTCTGTTTGTGTTTTTTTAAATGTCATCTGGAGACTGCAGCAGTGAAGGGAACTCTCTTTTTCAATGAGCAAGATAATTTAGTTCAGTATTATTCTAAACATTTGATACGTGTGCATATACAGTACTTGGTGACTGGTTCGATCATTCATGCTCAACTGAAAGTCGTCTGAAAGACGTTTCAGTGAGAAATGTCAGGGCGCCTAAAGATGTCAAATTTATTTAAATTTTAACATCAAATTGCCCTTTTTCCTTTTCTTATGTCTATGGTAATTATCAGACGGACCCTTCAGCGTTGATTCTTATAAACCCACCAGATTTTGCACCATGCACATCCTCTCACTGCGAAGTTCAGCCACGAGCCCATAAATATCCACAAAGTCGTGATCTCTGATGTGCTGAATGAGGTGATCAAGAGCGAGAAACACACCCGTCCTTCCCACACCGGCACTGAGAGACAGAAAACAAGCATTATGCTGTCTGAAAATGTCCTATCTACAGAGAAATACACTACAGCCATATACATAATACTACTTTTATATATTTAGAATACTGTACCCCTGAAGTGATACCTGCAGTGGACAACTATAGTGGAGTTGTCGTGCCGATGCGCTCGAACAGTTTTTACAAAATTAATTAAAGTGCTGCAGGACTCTGGGACTCCGTGCTCAGGCCATGATGTGAAGTTGAAGTGTTTTACCAAAATGTAGTGACCATGCTGCAGAAAGAGGAAAATATACATACATATATCATATAATATATATATTTATATATCATATACATCAGGGGTGGAAATACCGCCCCACCTCATTAATGGGTGGGGGGGTCAGTAAACAGGCAGTTTGTTAAGAGCAATTTTTGGAGGGCCCCTTAACTTTCAAATGTACTGTTGTAAAATGGAATGAAAATTAAACAATTATTGTTTGCAGGTAGACAAGTTGCAGAAACTAACAGGAGTACTGAATGTCTTTCTCCTCCCACCCCCATCCCTGTGACTAATTAAGCTTCCTGGTCTCACGGTCATGTGACTTTCAACAAAAACTGTTTCTTCTTTTTTACCAAAATCTTCTACTTTTTTTTTCTTTTGGCTTCAACCTTCTTCAGGGGTCATCACCACAGCAAACTACCTCGCACGAAGAGTTGGCAATTGTTTTTACGCTAGATGCCCTTCCTGATGCAACAGACCACCAAGCTACCACAGCCATCTCTGTGGAGCAGGAAACTGCCATCTAGTGTGCCTGGGGGAGCAGATGGTGAGGGTTAAGGTGGACCTTGCTCAGGGGCCCAGAGTGGGGCAAATGAGGGTGGATACAGGTGTATATGTTTCACCTTTTCCACCCAAATTTTGATGTAGGTCCAGGGGGTTGAAGCAACAACCTTATGATCACAGGTCCACCTTTTCTAACCTTTGCACCACCACTCCCCCATCCATTTTACAACAATATATAAATGAACTGTACTTATACAGCATCTTTTTATCTTATCAAAATACTCAAAGGGCTTTACACTACAATCTGTACCCTCATTTACCCAATCATACAGCACTCTACTACATATCTACAAAACTAATCTGAATCTGTAGAGATTAATCAGTGCTTTATCACATTCATACACCGATAGGACACACATCGGAGGCAATGAAGGGTTCAGTGTCTTGCCTAGGGACATTTCAGCATGTGACTGCTGGTGGAATCGAACCCCCAACTCTCACATTGGAGGATGACTGCTTTAACGATTAAATAAGAGTAAGAAAAAATAGGTAAATTCTCTTTCTTGTTGCCCTTAAGCTGTGCAATGGGATTCAGTATGTAGGATATTACATGATAGGATATTTGAACTTTCAGGATATTTATAGGCAATTTTTTTTAGTTATATGCTTAAGCAAACAAGTTCCCAGGCTCAGACATTTTATAAATTCACGGTGTAGACCTTCTTTTAAAGCGTCTTGCTCCTCGTTCTACACTTATAATGTTTAGTATTGTAACAAAATTAAGGTTTTGGAGTCTCACCGTACTTTGTATCTAAATATTACTACATGAAATATTTGGAATTTGCAGTATGAAGCAGACTTTTTGGAAACATTCACACATTATATAGATCCTGTGTGGTGTTTTATTGAATGAATGGCATCACCTTTATTTATTTATTTTTTTTTAGTTACAGCCAGAACTGTCTTTATTAGTTCTAAAAACATCTGTCACAAGAAACTGGATTTAAAGTTATGTCCTTCTGAACTGGGATTAAACAGTTTGTCAACAGGGCACTTGTTTACATTTTGTTTGACATAAAGCAAAAAAAAAAAAATTCTTTTTTTTCTCTCTCTTTGGCTAAAATAATATGACTTTATTTTTACCCAAACATAAACTATGTTACTTGACTGTAACTATAATTATTGCATTATAAAACATGCAAAACATTTTTTTCACTGGCAGGTTTTTGGCTTCAGTGTGTACATATGTACATTTCAAGTATCACATGTCCTTTATGAGAGTGCATGTCTGTAGTTTCTGGAGGTTTTAGTACCTTTTCTATTTTAAGGGTTCTGATAGTCCAGTCAGGAAGGACTTCCTCGGACACTTTAGAAATTAGAAAGTCACTGAACACCGTCACCGGCTTGTTGTCTTCAGGCCAATATTTGTGACACCGAATCTGAAATATGACAATCATCTTCAGAACACGTATGACTGTTTTAGGAATCAAGCCCAAAACATACTGTGTGTGTTATAAAGGGCTTGTTAATGGTATAAAATTTCTAATGACGCACTTTGCCTTTTTCATAACACTGTGTGAGCATGGCGATGGTGCGGGTTCCTGTCTCCCAGATCATCCTCCAAAAGTCTGCCACGGTGCTGGGTAGAGGGCCTTGAGTGGCTATGAACTCGTTGGGACACAAGTAACCCTGCAGAGAGAAAACAAAAGGCAGCAGGGCTCATATGCAACCCATACAAAAAAATGAAGTTTTATGAAACTTGAGATCATCCCTCTGGTTTTATGAGTGATTACTCACAGAAACAAAGCTGGCATTGATATAGTCTGAGCCTGCCACGCCGGGTTCTGACAGCAGCTTCACTCGGTTGTTGTTGTCTAAATTCAGAAACATAAGACGAGAGCAGTGGATGAATAAAATATATTGCTTTGATTTATTGTGTACATTTTAGCCTTTAAAAAATTCCCTTTTAGTGTGACCACATACAGGGTTTGATGTTGAGGAAGCGATTCTTAGATTTGTTCCAGGGCAGGTCAGCGTCTGATGTGGCCAGGTCGGGCAGCAGCTTTGGCAGCTCCTAGAGGAATAAAAATATACCTCTTGTTATGGTCCTGAAAAGACCTCTACAGAAACAACTCAGTTATTTCAACTTTTCTAAATTAAAGCCCTAACATTCCTTAAAGTGATGCATACTGTCTGTAATTACTTTCTAAAAGTTTCATAAAATTTCTTCCAGTGGCCCATAAGGTATTTAGTAACATATATGCAAACTCACACAGACATGGGCAAAAACATTTTAGTCCACCTTCACCTTTAAGCAGCAAGCAATATCCTAATTTAGACAAAATATGATTGAGATTTTTGACAACACTTTTGAAAACACTTACCGCAAACTCCTCCTGAAACTTGGCATTTTCATTGGCACACAGATCTTCCACATGCTGCAGAAAAGATTTCTTGTTGATGGGCCTGACAGAGACATTAGAAGAGGAGCACACTGAGTGTTGAAGGTGAAAAAAAGACAACGACATGATGTTTTTTTGTAAACCTATTTTAGGTTTCTAGCACAATGAAGCTGTAAAGAACCTGCAGATTTGTCCTGCAGGTGCTGCGCGCATACTTGTAAAATCAATAAAGAATGACTTACTTGAGCGACTTCCTGTAGCTGAGCAGTCTGGAAGAATACAAACAGGAAAAAAAAGAACCAAAAATAAACAAATCAACGCAATAATTGCAGCCCACGCATTGGCATTTGTGCCCATGACATTTTAGCTAATCTTCAGCAGAGATTTCCACAGTGATGTATGTTCTGCAAAGTGGGTTAAACCATTTTGTAATCAAATCCACTTTGAAGTCTTTACATTTTTATTCTAAAATAATATGTGAATTTGAATGGTACCAGAAGTGTGTTGCTCTTATAGAGGGATGTGAATTAAAGCTACACAGATTCCCAACAACTGAAAAAGCTTAACATTTATGCCCGCTGCCTTCCAAGCAGTTTGAGATGGAGTAAACAAATTAAAAAGGCCTTAAAGAATAAGAGCTTCGGCAAAGCTGAGCTCATGATGGAGGACGATGAGCAGGCTGTCGGTAAGACATTGATGTCACTGATTCGTTTAACCATCAGCCACCACTTTAGCTTTTACAGACAGCACAGATGGAGGGTTTGACTCAGGCCTGAATGACACACAAACATGCAAACACAACACGCACAAAGTCAACTTCCAACTTACTGGATGACATAAATCTCTTTCCGCCTAAAGAAGAAGGAAGAATACCTGGTGAGAGAGAAGTGCCCAGTAAGAGAAGCTCAAAGTCAGAGTGAACGTAAACGCCTGCGTGGAAGCAAAGCTGACAGTGACACAAAAAGGTGCTACTTTAACAATAACTGGGTGACCATTCAGATTCTAACAGATTTAAAAGAAGAAGTGCTGATCATGTCGTAGCAGAAGGGAAAGGAGATGCTGTCCAGATTAATACAATGTAAGAGAAACATTTTCTGAAAATATACAGTGAATGCTGGGAACTATAACTTTACTGAAGAAGCTGAAATAGAGTTGTTAAAGCTAAAAGAAGCAAAAAAACACTAGCTAGAGGCTAACAGTTGGAGCAAAACAATAGTTAAAAGTCAAAAGTAGCAAAATGTTGGTTGAAAGATGAACATAGCAAAAGGTTAGCTTAAAATGGAAAGGATAAAAAGGCTAAATAAAAGCCAAAAGCAGCATAAGAACAGGTAAACACAAAAGTAGCAAAATGTTAGCAAAAATGAAAATATTAGCTAAAAGCAGCAACATGTTAAAGGTCAAAAGTAGTGAAATGCATGGCCAAAAACTAAAAGTAGCAAAAACAGCTAACTAAAAGCTAAATGTAGCAAAAGGCTGGCAAAAAGTCAAAAGTATCAAAATGCTCGCTAAATGTTAGCCCAAATCTTAATGTAGCAAAAGACTATTTAAAAGCAACAAAAGGCTATCTAAAACTGAAAAAAGTGAACTACTATCTACAAACCAGATTCCAAAAAAGTTGGGACACTAAACAAATTGTGAATAAAAACTGAATGCAATGATGTGGAGATGGCAAATGTCAATATTTTATTCGTAATATAACATAGATGACAGATCAAAAGTTTAATCTGAGTAAATGTAACATTTTAAAGGAAAAATATGTTGATTCAAAATTTCACAGTGTTAACAAATCCCAAAAAAGTTGGGACAAGTAGCAATAAGTGGCTGGAAAAAGGAAGTTGAGCACTTAACGAACAGCTGGAAGACCAATTAACACTAATTAGGTCAATTGACAACATGATTGGGTATAAAAAGAGCTTCTCAGAGTGTCAGTGTCTCTCAGAAGCCAAGATGGTAAGAGGATCACCAATTCCACCATTGTTGTGCAGAAAGATAGTGCAGCAATACCAGAATGGTGTTACCCAGCGTAAAATAGCAAAGACTTTTAAGTTATCATCATCAACCGTGCATAACATCATCAAAGGATTCAGAGAATCTGGAACAATTGCTGTGCGTAAGGGTCAAGGCAGTAAAACTCTACTGGATGCTCGTGATCTCCGGGCCCTTAAACGTCACTGCACCTCAAGCAGGAATGCTACTGTCAAGGTAATAACAGAATGGGCTCAGGAATACTTCCAGAAAGCATTGTCAGTGAACACAATCCACCGTGCCATCTGCCGTTGCCAGCTGAAACTCTACAGTGCAAAGAGGAAGCCATTTCTAAGCAAGCTCCACAAGTTCAGATGTTTGCACTGGGCCAGGGGTCATTTAAAATGGAGTGTGGCAAAATAGAAGACTGTTCTGTGGTCAAATGAGTCACGATTTGAAGTTCTTTATGGAACACTGGGACACCATGTCATCCGGACCAGAGAGGACAAGGATATCCCAAGTTGTTATCAACGCTCCGTTCAGAAGCCTGCATCACTGATGGTATGGGGTTGCATGAGCGCTTGTGGCATGGGCAGCTTGCATGTCTGGAAAGGCACCATTAATGCAGAGAACTATGTTCAGGTTCTAGAACAACATATGCTCCCATCTAGACGTCATCTCTTTCAGGGAAGACCCTGCATTTTTCAACACGATAATGCCAGACCACATTCTGCAGCAATCACAACATCATGGCTACGTAGGAGAAGGATCCGGGTACTGAAATGGCCAGTCTGCAGTCCAGATCTTTCACCTATAGAGAACATTTGGCGCATCATAAAGAGGAAGGTGCGACAAAGAAGGCCCAAGACGATTGAACAGTTAGAGGCCTGTATTAGACATGAATGGGAGAGCATTCCTATTTCTAAACTTGAGAAACTGGTCTCCTCTGTCCCCAGACGTCTGTTGAGTGTTGTAAGAAGAAGGGGGGATGCCACACAGTGGTAAAAATGGACTTGTCCCAACTTTTTTTGGGATTTGTTGACGCCATGAAATTTGGAAACAACAGATTTTTCCCTTAAAATGATACATCCTCTCAGTTTAAACTTTTGATCTGTGATTTGTGTTCTATTCTGAATAAAATATTAGATGTTGGCACCTCCACATCATTGCATTCAGTTTTTATTCACAACTTGTTTAGTGTCCCAACTTTTTTTGGAATCCGGTTTATAAAAGAAACACTAGCTAAAAGCATCAAAAGTTTTGCTTAAAGCTAAAAGTTGGAAAATGCTAAAAGCAACAAAGTGCTAGCTAAAATCTTAAAGTAACAAAATACTAGCTAAAAGGAAAACAGCTGGAATTTAAAAATAGCAAAGGGCTACCTAACAGCAACAAAAGGTTAACTAGAAGTTCAAAGTAGTAAAAGGTTGGCTAAAAGCTAAAGTATTAAAAAAAAGCTAGAAAAAAAAAAGCTAGCTAAACAGTAAAAAATAGCAGAAGAGAAGCTAAACCAATTGCATAGGAAGACAAAAAAAGACGAACAAATAACATGGTGTCTGAAGAGATTTCAGTTTATGTCTCTGGGAAATATGTTTGCAAATAAAAGTAAAGATTTTTTTATATTAAGTATAAAAGTTACAAAAGCCAAAAATCATAGAACTCATCACCTGAATACGAGAATAAGCCAAATGTTTTAAAAAATGATAGATAGCTGAAATTGCACGTTTATGCACATTGTTATACAAAAGCTAAAGAAGATGAATTATCTTCATGATCTACATTCAGTATCAGAAGTGACTCAGTTCTTATCGTGTAAAAAATGTAATTCTGACTGCTTCATCAAGGAGATAAGGACTTAATTCCATTTATTTTAACATTGAAACTACGATACAAACATCTTACATACTGAAAGTGTCCAGAAAACGTCGGCAACTCTTTGGTTATTTTGATGTTCGTTAAAGAAAATCTGAATTTATTTAAAGCAGCTACAAAATTCACAGCTCAACAAATTTGACCCTCTGCTCTACATGCTGATAAATTCAGCTGACTCAAGCGGCAAATCACTATTTTACTCAACAAATCTGATCTTCATGGAAAAGTTTTAAAACATTTGTTGATGTATTAATACAAAATATACAGCCAGAAGTTTTAAAATAAGCACCTACAACTAGGGATGCACAATATTAGAATTTTGGCCGATATCCAATATGCCATTATGTTAAAACTTATTTTGCCAATAAACGATATATACCGATATTTTTTCCCCCTAGACCTACTTACAAAGACTACATAGCTTTCTCTGCTGTGGAATTAAAATACTACATTATTCTGCATGGTATTTTTCAATTTGGCCTACTACCAAATGCAGATGCCAAAAAGGGAGCTGAAAATGATGTAACACTTCAACTTGGATTATGTTTAATGTCAAATGTATTCATGACATTTACTCTCTCTAACACAATGACAACACTTGAACTGTGCAAATTTGTCAATTTTCACACAAATCTAAACTCAACCTGTTCCCAAGCGACAAATGAAAAGCGCATAAGTAGTAGTGCATTAATAGATATACTTAACAGTTTCTTAAATTACAATTTAACTTAAAACAGAAGCCTTTTATATTGGTGAGTTCTTTTGATGGAATGGCCGATGGCTGATATTTAACTTTATCGCTAATATCGACCGATACCATGCCGATAATATCGTGCATCCCTAACTTGCACAAGTCCTGAGAATCTGCAAGGTGGAAAATAAAACAACCCATTTAGCCAAATAAGCAACAATATGTTTAAAGAAAAGTGGAAAATATAAGTATTTAGTTATTAGGCATGGGAGGAGAGTCATCATGATGTGGACCTGTGTTCATACCAGAAAAACAGTACATTAGTTTAATACACTTAATTTACAAAAAAAATAAGCTTTTTTAGTCTTTAACAAGCTTTGTCTGTTATTTTCTTCTTATGCCATCTTGGTATACTAAAAAATAACACTTCACTTGAAAACCTAGACGCTAATCTTTGTCACAGTGTTTGGAAAAAGCAGACAGAATGACTTTTCTGTTCTGCAGAGAACTGAAGATGAATTACAAAGCCACAGCACTGCTTTGTGTCTCTCTGCTTCTATTTTTCGCACAAACTCCACACCGTTAGATGACTCTGTGCTGACAGGAGCGCACATCAAGTTGGTTGCAGCAAAGAGTTTATTTTTTTTTATTTTATGCCTTGTTGACACAGGTTTAGAATAGTGTCTTGAGCAGCTAAATTGAGTCTGAAGTCATGTAGTGCGCTTTAACTGCCAAAAAGTGGTGAGGTTTTGCTTTTAGTTTATTAAAACTAACACTTACCGATTGAGTTTTTCTTGTTTCAGCTCCATGTCTGCCACAGCGATCAGCTGATCCAGCTTACACTTTGTCTCTATGATCTCTGCCTCTCTCGGTGAATAAGTGCCACCTTCTTTCTTACGCTGATGGATCCTGACAAGAGTCAATAAACGGGAAGGGTCACATGGTCTCATGGAACAGGTACATGGCACGTTAAGAATATTAAAGCTTTCATGTGGGTGCACGGAGAAGCATCTGATTCTTTCTTTCTTACTTGACTGAGCAGCAGATAATGATGATGAGTAACAAAGCCAAGAAGAATGACAGCAAAACACCCATAATGATCTGCTCCTCTCTGGTCAACAGCCCGTCAGCTGCAGAGTGGAGAAGAACAAACGTAAAGCATGCAGCATGGGCGGAAATCCTGAGGAGGTTTAGCAGGGTCCAGTCCCACCCAATTTTAGAAAAATTATGATTGTCCCATTAAATAAATCATCTGAGGAAACTATACCTTTAATCTATTAAACAGAAATGAGATCCACCATTAAAGTAGGTAATGCATTCATGCAATGCAAAGATTATAAGACTGGAGCGATTTAGCTAGTGCAAATATCTGGCTTCCAGTAAGGAGCGACTTCAGCTATTAAAATGTGAACGTAAACATTTTGTAGACCATTTCATTTTCTACGATTTCAAAAAAAGATTGAGACATTTTAGTCAGAGGTTAATGACGTTGATGTCACAGCAAGCCCTATCCAGTTGAATCCATTCTGCCTTTTCAATTTGAGCACACTGACAAACAGAAAAATGCAGAAATCACCAAAATGTACTTGAAAATAAAAAAGATCTGATGGATGAAGTGGAGAGAGTCGACAGAGGGGCTGCTGTGCGTTTGTACAGCAGTGTCTTACGGTAACTTATGGAAGGTAGCAAAGAGCTCTGCTTTCTATCAGAAGCTGCACAGGGTATGCATAAAAATATTCTCCTAAAGCTTAGACAAGTGCATTAATATACATTTCACTGCATTAGGCATGGTGCTGGATGGGGCTAGCACTGAAGATGTCATGTGACGTCAATGTAAACAACGTGGTGGCCTTTGAGAAAAATGCATTTTTCAACATTTATAAAAACTAAACAACCTACAGTTTTGCTAAGTTCATATTTTTAGATCTGATTGTTACGCTCACCAATATTCACCCTGCAGAGTGAGAACATTTAATATGTGTAAATAATGGATCCTTTATTGTTTAGGAACACTTACAGTTAATATTACTAAGATTATGGTTATTAAATACGTTGGGGCCTTGCCACTTTAACTCATAAGTTATTTACCAATTATATAGTAGTATTTATAAAGTAATTGGTAGTAGATATAGTAATATTAAGAGCTCCACGTGTTCATTTTACCAGAGTACATTTGATTGTACTTTTGGTGTCCTCTTAAAATTGCCCTGCTTATTGTCCCTCCACTAATGAAATATAATTTCCTTTGTTGTGTCAGTTTTTTAAGTGAAATACTGTCATTTTTTAGTTACCTGAAGTTCTGATGTGATCCGAATATTCAGAGTCTGTGTATTGGCTTTTAGGGTTTGTAGCTCTGAACTTAAACCTGTAAACAAAACAAACAAAACATTACAGCAGAAACATTAAAGTCTAACAAAAAGTACTACAATTTTTACTTTTTTGTAGGATTAGACAGAATGTGTCCAGTGTACTCACACATAGACCGTGTTGGGCTTCAGAGGCCCATTGCAGAAAGGATCAGTGTTGTTCTCCTCCATGCAGCCGTCGTTCTCTCCGATCACATACGTCCCTGAAGTGGACTGGTTTTGTCTCAGCAGTGATGGGACATCTCCAGGCACACTGCGGGCGGCTCTGATGAAGGCATTTATTTGCAACGAGTCGTCCCTCGACAAACACGGAGGGTTGGGGAACCCGGAGTCTGCAAAGTATGGAGCAGGATGGTGGAAAAATGCCTCCCTCCAGTTGGTCAGGTTCTCGCTGTCCCTCACTGTGACGGGAAGGAAAAGTTGACAAAAAGGAAGGAGTGAGGATGAACTGGGTCATATTTCTGATGCTGTCAGCTTTGTGAGCTTAGGACAGCGACACACCGTGGAACAAGACTCTGCTGGAGACTCAAAACACGCAAAAATAAAATCAAAAACACAAGCGTGTTCAACTAAAAAGTGATCACTGTCATACCCCCTGACTCGGCCACGATGACCTGGATTTTTGTGATTGGCCCGTTATCGTCACTATAGAAACAGGCAGGCATGTGGATGGTTATACTCCTGCGGGTTACCATGGCAACCCCTCCATGGCCCAGCACTGCTTGGGGTTTTTGGGTTGGCTTGGATGGGGCTACAACACATAGAGAGGAGGGACACACAAACAACCACACACAGTTAGCAGGTGAACCTAGTGTGTTTAAAGATAAGGCTTTGGTCTGGTATGTTTATTAGCTTGTTATATAACAGTAAAACAGCTTCTGCACATGATCAGCATGTTTCTAATTATACAGCCGAGTTATGTTTGCCATAATGACTCTAAATGCAGAGAAATACTGTGCAGCTGCAGATCTGACTCGTACGTGTCTGCTGCTGTAAGAAGGGAAGAAGCGCTGTAGTGCACTGCAGATGAGGGGACCTTACCTTTAATCCCTGTAGTAATCTGGACGTGTGGACTAAGTGGACTCCTGCCTGCCCCATTCTTTGCTGCAATCTGCCAACAAGCAAGCACACAAAGCAATTTAAGGAAGTATAATTTTTAGTTTTGATATACAGTAGTTCCTCGCTACTTCACAATTCGACTTTTGTGCTTTTTCAAAGTAAGATTGAACACGAGAAAAAAAAACAGTACACAGCACGATTGTGAACTTTAATATTACTCACATGATTGGGACAGTACTAGATACTATACAGTAAAAAGTTAATTAAAAAAGTAAAACATTTGGGACAGGCACCACCATTTTGTAGTTTTTTCTCAATAAGCCTATACTGTTTCCCTGCTCATAATGACTACATTTCCCAGAAGCCCCGTTGCCTTCTGCTGAAATACGTAGAGGGAAAGTTTTGATTTGATCGGAAAAAGTTTGGTCTTTTACACTGATTTCAGCACCCAGCAGATGCAGAAAGCCACACAGAACCCACTGGGAATCAAACCAGAACCGGACCCCCAGACAGGTGAACCCGAGAGCTGCTAGTCTCACAAGGACCCTTGAGCGGGGATGCCCTGCCTATAGGTCCAGCGCTCCTTCCGGAGCCCATCGCCACTGCCCTAAGCCAGCGAGCCGACCAGAACCGATAGGATAGGTCCGCTGAACCAGAACCAAGTCAGAGCCAAAGAGAATTGCTGTCATCTTAGAACAAGTCCAGTTTCACAAATATCAGTAAGGGCCATGCAATCTCCATTTTATTAACCTTCACACCACTGTCAGTTTTGTATTTCATGGTTATTCCAGCAGAAACAGTATCACATTTCTGCAAAATGTGGCTCAAGCTGACCAGAAGTGCTACAGCTGTCACTGTTGTTCTTGTAAAATACTCATACAATTCTATGTACTTAAAGTAATTGACTGAATTTATATATCATCATAACGTACCAGATTCACTGACCCAGTTTGAGGAGTTCTGCTTTTTTACGCATCAAGATGTGGACACGAATGATTCTGAATCAATTAAGAAATGTCAAAAATTGGTTCCTTTTTAAAGTAAATATTCTGTTGCAACAGTCTTTAGTGTGGAAGTGTGACGCTCAGACAGTTTATGGCGTGCACACAACAGGCTGATTGAGACATACAAGTTTGTGTAATTAATCAAATCAGTATTTTTGATTTTAGCTCAACAAAAATAATGCAGTCGACAAAAATCCACCATATAATAAGATGATTTAAGTTGAAAAAATGTACACCATAAAACACGAACTGTAATAAAATAAAAGATAAATTAAAACTAAATCCTTAGGGTTATACATCCATCCTTCCATTATCTTTACCCGCTTATTCCGTTTTGGGTCACGGGGGTCGCCGGTGCCCATGTCCAGCAATCACTGTGTGAGGGGCGGGGTACACCCTGGATGGGTCACAAGTCCATCACAGGTAGGGGTATACATTGTACTGAAAAAGTATTCATTTTCTGTTTTTAATATGTGTTTGTACTTTGTATTTTTTTACAGCAGTCTACGTTTGAGTAATTAAAGGGAAATTTCAACAGAAAGACATAATAGGAAACTGTTTTATACTGCAATAAAGAGGAAAAATGTTTGCATTTTTAGGTCTGTGAAGACCTGCAAGATGCTCAGGATTTTGTGTGATGTGTGATTATGGATCCATTGAGATAGATCCATAATCATTTTATAATCTCTGCCCTCTGAATCTTGATTGAATCGAATCGTGAGGCCCCTAAACATTCCCACTTCTGGTACACAGATCACGTATGTTGGTCAGGATTACCTCAAATTAATTTCAGAGGTTCTAACCTGTTACACATGTAATACCTTCCTGTGTTTTAACTTGTATGTTATTCACCAGCCACGCTGAGCTTTTAGTGTATCTTTTGGGGATGAAGAACTTTATTGAAACCATATCCGTTTATTGCCATATAAGATCCCTATTCCAGTCCTTATCAGTAAATAAATGGATGGGATCACTTGTACCTCATTCCCGACACAACGCTTTATATTGCTGTCTTGGAACGCTCCCCAGCTGCCAACTGCATCCTACTGGCTAAAAGATGTTTCTAAAACTGGAATATTTCAATTTGAAATTTGATGGGAAGGCCATTGACTTTTTGAAGATGTGGAAACTCTTTATCCCATATTTTCATTCTCTCAAAACTCTTGAGTCAGAATATTTGTTTTTCTCAACTCATTTGCTTGTTGTTGCTTCTATTTTTTAATTAGAATTATTAATTTAGCATAATTTTGTTTTATTTGTTCGAGCCTTTTATTTAGTTTTTTTTTTTTACAAATATATCTACATTTGTAATGTTTGATTTATTGAGCTGGATTTTTTTATTATTTCAGTGTAAAATGAATCAATGAAGTTTAAATAAATTTTATGTAAACAACCATGTAATGGGAGACTGACAGTCAAATAAAGGGTTATAACAAGAGTTAATATGAACAGCTATGAAAGCTTACGGCAGTTCATTTCGGTCACGGCCCATTTGGATCTGCTCATCAGGCAGAATTAACTCCAAACCATGGTTATTCAAAGTAATATCTACAACAGGTAAGATATTAATTGTTCATAACCTTTCAATAATGCCCCACTTTAAAATAACTAGTGCTTTAAGTCCTGGAAAGCATAATTATTTCTTAGTTATTGCTCCAGGCATGAGACTGTTGAACTAAAACCTGTAAATGTGTGAAATATGGAATACATGTTGTATTATACGTAACTCTTCGCACATGTAATGTGTTTTATGACAAGTTTTACTTTGACGTTTTGGGTAGAATGTGCGTACTTTTACCTGTATACTGTAGGTGTGCCCTCCTTTAAGGCCCTCTATGAAAGCGACCACCATGTGCGGTTCTCCCTGTATGTTGTCAAGGCTGACATTTTTAACCAGCTGTTCCTTCTCATACACAAACAGGAAGTAGGCAGTGATGTTTCCGTTGGGCTCCTCAGGAGGACTGAAGCTCACCCTCACCAAGTTCACTTCCTCTGGGATAACGGAGATGGTCACATTCTTGGGAGGGTCTTTTGGCTCTGGGTGAAGAGAAGAACGGATATCAAAGTAGAGAAGTAAGTTAACGAGCGGGAGCTAGAGAATGATGACAAGATGTAAACGTACCCTCCTCCATTGTTTGAAAAACAACAGGACCAATGGCCTTCCCATCTTCCAATGAAGCAGTGAAGGCGGTGACGGTAACAGTGTAGCGGGTGAATGCCCTCAGGTTGGTCACAACAACAGTCATCAGCTCTCCTGGAGCTCGGACTATTGAGTAGTTCATACCAGGACCATCCACCTGAGAAAACAGAAGAGTTTGAACCTTAAACTGCTGCGCTAAAAAATAAAATAATTTTCAACCAGAGAGGGTTATCTCAGTAACCTCAAACTATTATTAAAGTTAACAGGTGACCTGCACAAAATATGACGTCTGTCCCGCTAGAACAGCTGGAGCCTCCCACTGGATGCGAAGGCTGGTGGAGGTGGAGGTCACATTCAGGTTACGGGGAGGCACGTCGGGGTCTGAGGAGATGAGATGAGCAGAAAATAAAAGAGATGTGCTTTCAGCCTGAATGCAGCGGCTCAACTCATGCCTGGCAGACATGCTATTCACACAAGACTAAACAAAATCAAAGAAAACAAGATCATTCGTTCTCTCAGATCCTGAATTACCTCACTAAAGACGTTCTCTGCATGCATTAGTGCCGTCAGGATGGACAAGTTATTATGTTTAGCAAGTTTATATTAGAGAGTAAAGTGATTATGCTAATTCACGCTCAAACGCTGTTAATATCTCAGCTATTACAAGCCATTTGGTCAAACTTTTAAGGATTTTAAAGGCTAAATTGGGGGATCATAAATTATTACACGTCGATGGCAAGATAACGTAAAACAAAGCACTTTGAACGATTTTCTGTTCATTCCCATTCAAATTTAATCAAATATTTGTTACTCTACAAATCCTAAATATAAATCTATGGCTCTGCTGGATGTTTATGTAAATATAAGCATTTCTATGCTACAACACTTTAAGACGGTTCAGTTTTGTGTAATTTGTCTGATTAAATGATTGACCCATTCGTCTGAAGCCCTAATTAGCTGACACTTCTCTTCTGATAATTTAAAAAGATCATCAGTGTGTTGTTCTTACTTCCAGCCAGAGTCATTGCATATTCCCAGTGCGTATATTCTCCAACTCCAGCGTTGGTCACGGCAGCCACTTTGAAGCGATAGTTTCTGTATTTAGCCAGGGACTGAAGGGTGATGCTGCCTCCTTCAGCGTTATCTGAGGCATTCACTGACACTGTGAAATCGTTTTCCACGCAGTGTGAGGTGAGCTCGTCGTCCGGAGTTGGCGGTATGTTTAGTGTACAATCAGTGGAAAGCAGCTGCGCGACGATGCGGTACTCTTTCAGCAGGCCTGGAATCGAGAGCGGCGGAGCCCACTCGAGGCTCAGATTGCTTGATGTGATTTCAGTTATGGTGAGGAAGTGAGGGGCAGCTGGAACTGTTAGAAGACAAAGGGGATTTAATCAAGCCTCTCCTCTCTGTTAAATGAGCAGCAGCTGCACCTGAATGCTTAAAATACTGAACCTGATTCAGAAAGGGTGGAAGCTGAGCAGTTCACTTTGTCTCCTGGTCCAGCAGAGTTGACTGCGGCTATAATGAATGCATAATCCTGCTCTGGTGACAGGCCAGTCAGTGTGTATCCAGATGTGTCTGTCTGCTGTGTGAAGACCTGCAGGTTGACCTCTATTGTGATCTCGTAAAACAGAATCTGACCATTGGGGTTGGCTGGAGTATCCCAGGACAGCTCGATTGAATCCCAGCTCACTCCTGAGCAGGATAGGTTTCCCACAGCATCAGACACTGCAGACAGAGACACAACGAGAGGGAGGTGAACAAAGTAAAACTAAAATGTGTTCATGTTTTTACAGAAGCAAGCCACTGTTCCTAAAAACAATTTAGCTCTTTGTCTTGTACTACTCCTGATTTTAAGCTGCTGAGCCTTTTCACAGTTATGCAAAGTGTTGTGCTTTAAAGTTCCCATGGTGGTTCAGCTAACAGCTGTGCAGGAAATTCTGTCAGGGGTTTGCACAACTGCCCCTTGCGTGCACGTGTTGTTTACAGATCCTCCAGTTTCCACTTGTTTGAAAACATGCATGATTTTAAATCTGTGGAAGCCTCTGAACGACTGAATGGAAAAGTCTGTTCGTCTTTGTGTGCCTGTGATGGATTAGCAGTTTGTTTTAGGTTTACTCTGCCAACAATCTTAGCTGGCTTACGCTGGAACCCCCCCCCCCCATGCTCCACCTCTATCACATAACGAAACTCAACTTTTTAAAATTGCTGACATGAATGATATGAATGGTATTTGTAGGTAAAATCTCTGTTATTAGCAGATGATTGTGGTCCTGTTGGCTTCATCGTGCCGTGATCTTCATCTCTCACTGGAGAGGTTTGCAGCTGAGTGCGAAGCGGCTGGGATGAGAATCAGCACCTCCAAATCTCAGGCCATGGTCCTCGGAAAAGGGTGGATTGCTCTCTCCCTGTTGAGAGTTACAAGTTTTTCCTCAGTGGAGGAGTTCAAGTATCTCAGGGTTTTGTTCAAGAGTGAGGAAAATATGGGCCGTGAGATCGATAAACGGATCAGTGCAGCTTCTGCAGTATTGTAGACTCTGTGCTGGGTCGTCGTGGTGAAAAGAGAGTTGAACTGCAAGGTGAAGACAGTCAGTCCTTGTTCCTACCCTCACATATGGTCACAAACTGTAGGTAGGGACCAAAATGAACAAGACCTCTTGTACAAGTGGTCAAAATGAATTTTCTCTGCAAGTAATTGGACTCTCCCTTTGAGATAGGATGAGAAGTACAATTTTCCAGGAGACCACAATGAGAGGAACCAGTTGATTTGGTTCAGGCATCTGGTAAGGATGCCCCCTGCATGCCTCCCTAGGGAGGTTTTCTGGCCATGTCCAACTGGGAGGAGACACCGTGGAAGGCCCAGGACATGCTAGAAAGACTGTTTTCTTTGTCATTCTTCCTGTTCTTTCACAGGGTCAGTGCTACACATTTGAACGTCGGAAGTTTTCAAGTTATGAACCCCAAAAGGAAGTTTTTCTCTCCCAAAGGAGACAATTTCTTCCCAAACTGATTGAAACGCTCCATTTGCAGTTCAACCTGCAGTTCCCTCATTTATTTATGTGAGCTTAAAACTTGTTGCATTATTTTTCAAAATGGGGGTCTATGATGTAAAAATGAGTAGAGAACATCTGACCTGCAGTGATCTTGTGGTCAGAGTGTTCTCAGATTGGAGAGAAAAGGATAGGTTTTAACAGGATTTAATTTAATAAAAATTATAAAGGAAGCCTCAGCAGAGTGCATTTTTATGGTCAGAAAGGATTAAAAACTTGGAAATTGTCTTAGTGATTCATGCAAAAGCTACATTTTACTGTGTTTTTTCTACTCTGTTACTGTCACACAATATTTTCTCAACCAAAAATGCTGTTGGTCCTGTAATGGTCAGCAGCCCCCTGCTGACCCCTCATCTACTCACATCACGGCTCCTCTTGCCATGTTTCTGCCCATCTTGCCATAAACCTGCCTTCATGCTCTTTGTTCTCCTGCCCATGTCACCTGCCACAGTTTCTGCCCCTCATGCTATTGTTTGTTTTTCCCTGATGTGTTTTGCCTATCACCCATCCTCCAGCTCAAGCCTGCTCCCTTCACTCCATGCCACGCCTCCCTTTTCTCACAGCAATCAGCCCTGATTCCACGCACCTGTTCAGCTCATCTAGTTCACCTGCTCTGCACCTTTATAAGTTCCATTCTCACTCTCCACTGGGGCCGAATTATTATACCTTCCATGGTCCCTGATATCCAGCCATCTTGTTCTTGTTCATGCTTGATGTTCATGCCCTGTATTTGGATTTTCGACCTCACGCCTTGTCTTGTGAATTTACCCTTTTGCCTGCTCCTCGTCTGGTTCTGCTTTGTCCTTCTGATCACGGTAATGACCTCTGCCTCTATGACCACGATTCTCAGATCACCCTTTTTGGATTAATTCTTGGACCTCTGATTCCTTGTGTTTGACCCCTTTGGACCACGACCCTGCATTGCCCCACTTTCCCTCTCTGTCTATTAAGATTGCACTCCTGCCTTGGACTCTGACTCCAGCTACCAGCAGCCTCATTAATAAAAACTGTTCTTGTATTTGCACTGCTGTGTCTGGCTTATTCTGAATCCAAAATCCAAACCTGACAGGTCCACAAAATTGTGTATTATGTCATGTCAAAGATAAGCCCGTTAGCTTATTGCTGGACGTCTCTTTGAAAAAGTTTAAAGGTTGGTATTTGTTGCTCCTTTTACAAGTTGTTTTAGGCTCTACGGTGGGTAAGACACTAACCATTCACAGGTATTTCATGTCTCTTCAGAGTGTATAGCCTGAAATTAAACTGAGCTCTTGCAAAATAAAACTCATTCCTTGAAGAAAATGCATATTGTCCACCACGTTTTATTCAAAGATTTTCAAAAATCAGAATCAGCTTTGTCATTGCACCGAAGCACAGCAAAATTGTATTTTCAGTACAGCTCGTTCAAGAACAACATAAACAGCATAAACAGCAACTAACATGGGGAGATGGAGGTGACGGAGGCCATCGCCTCAGGAGGTGCAGCCTTATTTTCAGATAAGGGAAAAAAAAAACACGAGGGGGAGGGTAGATGTAAAAAAAAAAACGAGGGGGAGGGAAGATGTAAAAAAAAAAAACGAGGGGGAGGGTAGATGTAAAAAAAAAAAAAAGAATCTTGCACCGTGTCCTACAGAACACAGTATGAGTTGCAAAAAAACGAACCTTTGTGCAACATATAAAGTACATAAATAGACATAATACATATGTGTGTGGAGTGGGTAGGGTGTGGGGTCCCAGCACAGCTGTCAGGTGAGCGACGCAGCCCTTTGGCGCTTTTGCATCTCCCTGCACCAGGGGAGGGAATAAGGAAGGCCGACGAGGGCATGAATTTGAGGGGAAGTCATAGCACAGCACAGTCCAGAGGCCAGAGCCATAGTCCTAATAAGAGGTATTTGTTTATCAGCCAGCTCAGTTGAGCTCTGACACTGTTCCATGTCCTTGGGGAGGGGGTGAGGAGGGGATCAGAGTGTCTTGTTTCCATAACATCCAGTTGAGACAGTCAGCCTTCCAAGGCCAGAGCCAGATTTCAACATTGTTTTGGGTCAGGCCAAGCCCTTTAATTTCAGCATCTGCCTTTTACAGTCTCGCTAGTACATCTCATGGCGACTCCAAATAGCCGAATTGGGATTACATAATCCAGATTTCCACCAACTCCATAAAGCATAATCCAGTTATCATAAATCCAATTATGTTTCTGAGGTAAGAGGGCTCTCCTTCACCCTGTCTTCTTGTTGAGAAAATTTGATCAATTGCGTTGAGAGACCAGCTGAACAAATCCATAGTTTACAATTCAGAAGGTATGCAAATAGGGGCTCTGAAAAAGGTTCACAAAAACAAAGAGCAAAAGCAGGGACGGAGCGGAGGAGGAAGTGTCTGCTTTCGCCAAGAGCAAGCAGAAAAAACAAAGCTCTTGCGAGATATGTTAGCATTTAAAATATTGGATGGAGATGACTCTCAGTTGCCACTGTCAAATTATAGCTCAATATTAGTAAAAGTAATCGACTTAAAGCCATTTTTGTGTTTTCTAAGACTGATTAGCTGTAGAGGCCATCTTAAATGGGGTTGACTTTTAAAGTTAATCAGTAGTAAAGACACATTCAGGGTTTACTTTCTGAGAGAATCGTTCAAATCTGTTTGTTGGTTCATGATACTTTACTAATAGACAGATAAACACACGCATGCACGCATGCACGCACACACACACACACACACACAGTCTCAAATGATCACCACCTTTCAGGTGATAATGACATGATATAGGCTCTTAATAATAGCTCATTTTTATGCCTGCATACCTGTCTGTTCATAGAGCTCATCTATGGAGAGTATTTTGAACTGAATAAAACATCCAAATGTCAGCTTCCAAGAATAACTTTGAACACAAAACTCAGCAGAAACCCTAAACTGTGTGACTGTACCTTCTTTTATGTGGGAACAGTGTGTGGTTTACCTGACTCATTTGTTGTGAAGGTCACAGGGCTGCTGAATTGATTCCCGTGGCCCACTCTGGTGTAACTGTACACACTGATCTCGTAGGAGCTGTGGGGCCTAAAGCCTGCCAGGTATGCCACAGTCAATGGACCCGAGGAGTTCTACACATCCAAAGAGAAAACACATGCTAGATTAAATTATCTGGTCCTCATCGCTGGATGATATCAACGTATTGGCACGCATTTACGCCCTTTAAGTATGATGTTACTGAAGAGGGATAGCTGGAGTGTGAAATTAGCCACCGCTGCTGTGATTTTGTGGAGTGTGTATGTGTCCTATTGTTACTCTGAGGGAGCTTTCAGTGTGTGAAATTAATGGTACCCGATGTGTGACGGTTTCTGTGATGAGGTCACGGATCCAGAATCCGTACATCATCACCACTCCATTGGGCTCCAGAGGAGGCTCCCAGCTCAGCCACACAGAGACTGCCGTGTGGTTAAATATAGTCAGGTTAAGGGGAGGAGACGTGGGGCCTGAAACGCAAAATAAAACTGACTTCAGATAAACAGCTGAGATTTATGAAGAAGTTTTCAACGTGCTGCCAAGCTCACCCCCTTCGTCGGTGTGAAGCTGCACGAGCAGGCTGGGCCCTGCGCCTTTACGAGTCGAGGCAGTAATGGTGAGATTGTAGGCTGTGTATGAGAGCAGGTCAGTGAGAATGACCGAGGTGTTGGCGGTCTGTATTGTGTTGGAGCCCCCGGGGCCAGACAGAGTGATAGTGTACTCAGTTACTTCTCCATTGGCCTCTAGAGGGCGCTGCCAGACCACAGCGATGGAGGACGTAGACAAGTTTCTAGTTGACACCAGGAGTGGAGGAGAACTGGGAACTAAAAGGAGACACACCCATTCAAATGTCAGTATTGCAGTACATACATGAACGCTTCTTCATGGGCTACAAATTGTAGAAACTCACTGTCATCGTCTGTTCTCAGGTACACTGTGCTGGTTTGGTTGTAGGCAGCACCGGCATTAGTAGCTGGAGTAACTTTCAGCACATATGGAAAATACTTCCTGAGCTTGGTAAACAGGAATACATTATCGGTCGTGGTGTGCTTGATGGTTTTATTGACAGCTGGGGCTCCTGGGCTGGTCATGTTTGGGAATGTACCGTCCTCCTGTAAGGTGAGGATGTAGTAGGGGCGACCGTTGGGCTCTGTGGGAGGATCCCAGCTCACAATGATGGCCGTGGAGCTGAAGATCTGCGCTGTTAGGTTTGAGACTGGGTCGCTCGGCACTGTGAGAGGAGATCAGTAAAGCAGTGTTGGTATTTTCAACCATCGTTAATGAGATGACAGCTTTATTTTATTTTGAAGCATCAGAGCAGAGCATCAGTTAGACACTTATAATTTGTAAACAATAAACAGAAAACCATTTGTTGTCATGTTTAACATTCATAAGGATTATTATAATTACCGGGACCGTTAACAAAGATAGCAACATATTAAAGTAGAACAGTGGAAAATGGCATTACCCAAACAGAAAAACAGCAAAGCGACAATATTATAAAAAATTCAACAGACTTTTTAAAAACACATAGAGGCATTAGGATAAGGAAATTGCACACTGAACGTCTTGGATAGTGAGAAAGAAAGAAAGAAAGAAAGAGAAAAATACTCATCCTGTTCTTCTTTTTAGCTCCTCTGGAAATGTTGGGTGAGCAGGAAAAAAAGAGTAGAAACGAAGAAAGAAGAAGAAAATGAACTGGAGATATTTATACATTGAGTGAGTGGCTATAAGGAGCCGGGTGTTTGGGGGAGGAGGGTCTAAAACCAGGGGAGTGAGACCCCGCTGACATTGGCTGTGCAGGAGACACAAGGGGCCCTGGAGGTCCGGAGTTTGGCTGATAATGGAGCAGCTGGAGCACAGGTAGAGACACGTGGTCAGTCATCATTCAGACAGACAATACTTCACAAACAAAAACAATGTGACTACGTCTGGTGGCAGTCTGCACCATTTTTTCCAAAATCGCATAAAAACCTAGAGATCAGTTCTGACAAATTTTCTTCAAATTCATTTCAGCTGTCGTCGCAGTGTCGTTATCGTAAGACGCGTCGTAAGACTTCTCAAAGATAGTCGAGATTAGATTACACTCCATTTTGTCAAATTCAGAACTGCTCTGCAGAATTTTTATGTAATTTTATTTAAAGGTTAGAGGAGATTTGGAAAATGTGTGCAGACTTGCCCTCCAGTTATATTCTGAATAATCACGTCTAACTTTATGTGTATGGATTTACTTTATTCTATAAATATTATATAAATCTGTGGGGGATTTTTTTGTGTGTGTCTGACTGACCATCCTCTGGCAGGAGCACAGTTATTGGCTCGGACTGGACCCCTCCATCACCCTGTACAGTGCTTGAAGTCATCCACATAGTGTAGTTACTGCCCCCCATCAGGCGAGTCAGAGTGTAGATGAAGGGTGAATCAGGAGGAGCGCGGGCAGGTAAATCTGAAACGGGAATTTTCTGTGCACAAAAAAAGGAGCTGTAGTTATTTTCACAAACTGAATCAAGCATTTAAACAGCTGAAAAGTTGTTTCTGTTAATAGAGCTGAGGAAATGCAAACATTAAACCATCAGTGTTTAGTTCTTGCTTTAGCTGATTTAGGGAAGGTGATTAGTATTGTTATAGTTATTGGCTATAACTCATCACTGAATAAATTATCAACAAATATTTTGTTTATGACTGAATTTCTTAAATATCAAGTTTATGTGTTGACAAAATTACCATTTAGATCAATAGATATCGAGTAACGAACATTTAAACCTGGTTTCTGAAAATTACAGTGGCATTAGTGCATACATACTGTATTATCAACCAAGATAATTATATATTGTATACAGATTACATATGTTTGATGTAAACATTATATAGAGTTCAAACTATACTGGTTTGCACATGTGCACTTTAATGTGTGATGGGTATAAATATGTATGCAAAGTTTTGATAATGTTTGGGAGGGTTTCTAACTGGGTAAATTAATCCAACCTTTATTTAGACAGACTAATCACACTAAGCCTTGGGCACTCATTAACAAGTGGGACCTGTTTAGACAGACAAAAAAGTAGTGAAAGTGACAACAAGTAGGATTTGGAGGTAAAAAAAAAAATCCTAACAGACTCTCAATTCATGGCCGAGGACAGATAGCCTGAAATTGAAAAAAACATCCCGCACATAAGCACATAGTGACGCAGACAATCCGCAGGGGGAGGGGAGAAACAACAAGAGCAGTGAGTGTGTCCAAGGACACCCCAGAGGCACTAAATAAATACTACTAATATATAAATAATACTAATAAACAACTTAAAGGCCTAGCATTCCTTGAAGCATGTCACCTTTTATGCAGGAGTTTTAACCTAAGATAATTTTATGCTGAAAGTTGAGCTTAAAATGTAGTCAGACATTGTTAATGGCGTTATATGATGTCATGTGATACAGTGAGGTCTTGAGAGATGTGTTCGAGGTCAGGGAGTGTGTGGTGAGAGACTCTCAGAGATTTGCACTCAATTTTTGTAAAATTCACTGAGTTATCAGAGACTGTCATCTCCCCTCCCTGCGTCACTATGTGCCTATGTGCCTATTTTTTATTTCAGGCTATCTTTCCTCAGCCAAGGAACGAGAGTCTGTTAGGAATTTTTTTGCCTCCAAATCCTACTTGTTGTCACTTTCATTATATTTTTGTCTGTCTGACAGGTCTCTCTTGTAAATGAGTCCTCGAGGCTCAATGTGATTTATCTGTATAAATAAAGGTTGAATGAATGAAAAAAAAAATTTCACTGCGTTGTTTCCATTTTTGTGTTGGTAGAGGTGGATTTGCTGTAGCTGCTTCCCAGGACTGGGTTGACTCCAAGTGTTGTTGAGTTTTAGATGTACGTCCATCCATCCATCCATTTTCTTTACCCGCTTATTCCATTTTGAGTCACGGGGGTCGCCGGTGCCCATGTCAAGCAATCACTGTGCGAGGGGCGGGGTACACTCTGGACAGGTTGCAAGTCCATCACAGAGACACATAGAGACAAATAAGACAGACAACCATTCACGCTCCCATTCCCACATAGTGACAATTTAGAGATATCAGTCAACCTAACAAACATGTTTTTGGTCTGTAGAAACAGGAGTGCATGGGGAGAACCCATGCAAGCACTGGAAGAGCATGACAACTTGACGCAGAAAGGCCACAGCCAGAAATCAAATGTGCAGCCTCGTGGCGAGGCAACAATACAAATCCACTGCACCATGGCACAGAAGCAGACGTCCTTCCTCGTGGGCGTTTTAATGACTCCCACCCGAAAGCTCCAGAACAGTAAAACTGGCAAAGTGTGTGTTTTTATAGGACTCTGACTCGCTGATCATCAGTTAATCAACACATTTGATTAACAGCACCTGAATGCTACTTATCATTATTCATGTGAAAGTGGTAAGAGTATAATTAGATTTGTGCTGCACCATGTGTTGACTTAGCTGTTTAAACTAAACCAGATTACACATCATAGTACATCATGCGTTGTTCCTCTGTGGTTGTATGTTGCATTCCCCTTTAAATCAGCGTGCACGTTTGTTTTTATAAGCATACACTCCCCATAAATTCTTACCTTTTCTGCCATTGTGTTGTTATCAGTGAAGTAAATAGTGTAGTGCACAATAATCCCATTGGGCTCAGTAGGTGGAAGCCACATCAAGGTGACAGAGGAGGCCGTCACATTTACAAAAGTCACGTTCTGTGGGGGATCAAAGGGCTCTGAAAGTCAGGGCGTAGAAAAAAATATCAGAAAATTACAAAAACATCTTTGGACAAAAGGTGTGGTCAGAACAAATGTCAGCAGCACCTGCTTCAGTGGTGGTGAAGCTGATATAGATCAGCACGCCTCCATCTCCCAGCCGGGTCCAGCTGGAGACAGAGGCATTGTAGCGACTTTCTGAGTCCACATTAATAACCACCGACGTCTCTGTCATGTTCTGCCACAGCTCAGTCGTTTCATTCCTAACAAAGGAAACAAACATTCATGCAGAACGATGCCTTCCTTTCTAACAGAAGAGCAAAAAAATACTGTAAAAAGATTTCCAAGCTCACCAAACTCTCACAATATAGTAGAGAATGTCTGAATTCGGATTAAGCGGTGGTTCCCATGACAACTCTACCTCATAGTCTGACAACTTCTTGGCTTTGAGGAACTGAGGGGGGGTGTCTGGGGCTGAGACAAACAAGACTTATGGGATCTGAAAAATGAAGGTGCATTTATTTCTCATGAAGTTTAACATTCTAAGTTTAAGTCTCCCCAAGGAAAAATGCCAAGAGAAGAATCCTGAAAAGAAACAAACTGTTATTTTTAGTTGCTTGTGACAAAAGATGTGTCTCTCAGTTCTGATGAAAGAAATGGAGATCACAGAGGAGGAACCTGTGATGGAACATAATTTGCACGAGGGGAAACAGAGACGCAAAACTGAGGAGAGAAACTGGAGGAAAAGCAGATTTAATCAGAAGCCCTTCAGACGTTATCAGCCAGGCGACACTCCTGGAAGTGAACCCCTCCCTCACCACATACACCCCACCCATCCTCCTCACCATCCTCGAGTGTGGTGATGTTGAGTGGCTCACTGCTGTGGTTTCCCGGCCCGACTCGGGTGTGCGCCTGCACCACGACGCTGTACTGTGTGTACTTCCTCAGGTGTGTGATGTGGATGAAGGTGGTCAGTGAAGTGAGATTCAGGTGGTGCGTGGAGTTCCAGAGGTCCAGGCTGTAGAGAGTAATGACCCCGTTTGGCAGCAGAGGAGGACTCCACGTCACGTTCACCTCGCTGGGACTCACCGACTTATAGGACAGTCCATAAGGGGGACTGCCTGGAACTGTAGACGGAATAAAGAATTGAAATGTGGCGTGAAACTGTTAATAATCCTAACATCCTTCAAACAGTGGTTACATCCTTCAACGCACCATCTTCTCCAGACAGAAGGTCCAAGGTGTCTGACGTTTGGTTGCCGTTGCCGTACCGTGTGTACGCCCTCACAGACACGTTGTAGTAGGAGAACGGCTTCAGATCGATCAGAGTGACTCTGTTAGATGTGCTGTTCACCAGTGCAGAGAAGGAATTGTTTCCATACGAGATCTCGTAGTACTGGATCACGCCGTTAGCCTTCTGTGGTGCAGACCAGGTGAGGGTGGCGGTGGAGGGGCTTGTGTCCACCACAGAGAGATTTCCAGGAGGGGAGTCAGGCTCTAAGGGGAAAAATATCACAGAGCGAGATTAACTCTAATAACTATTAGACATACAAAGACTAAATAAGGACATGCAAATACCTTTAAAAGCCGACTGTTGCTATTTAATAATACTATTTATTTTTTCATTATTGATACTGTATTTGATAACTGATTAATATTGTCTTTCCTTTTAGAATTGCATTTGGGCCTAAACAAAAATCCAACCCCGGCCCGGCCTGAATCCGTATCATTTTTTCCAAGCCTGACCCGAAACCGACCAATTATCTGTGATTACAGACCCGAACCTGGAAAAAAAAAAAATACTATTTTTTTTTATTATTATATAAGCTTTAACAGCTTTTGTAAGCAAATCAGTTTGACATGATTTAAAACCGTAATTCAAAGAAAGGAAGATATAAGATTTCTTGTTTATTAACAAGAATCGGCGGATTATTATAGTTATTATAATATTATAATAATTATAGTCAAGTCAAGTCAACTTTATTTATAGAGCACATTTAAAACAGAACCTGTTATCAAAGTGCTTAACAACCCAACAATCAATGAGTAAATTAAAGAGAAAAATATATAAACATATATACTGTATACAATACACTAATAATAATAACTGAAGAATTAAAAAAAAGCATTTAAAACATAGGGTCACAGATTAAAAAACACTAAATCAACTCACACTATGAAATGCCTGAGAGAACAAATGTGTTTTAAGCAGGGATTTGAAGTGAGGAAGGGAGGTGGCCTGCCTGATGTTGGGGGGCAGGTTGTTCCAGAGTTTGGGGCCCATGACTGAAAAAGCCCGATCTCCTCTGAGCTTCAGTCTTGTTTTTGGAACAGCCAAAAGCAGCTGATTGGATGATCTCAGGGCCCGAGAGGTAACGTAAGATTCTAGAAGCTCAGAGAGGTAAAGGGGTGCGAGGCCATTTAGGCACTTGAAGGTCAACAGAAGAATTTAAAAAACTATCCTCGTACGAACAGGGAGCCAGTGAAGGGAGGACAGAACTGGTGTAATATGTTCAGACCTATGAGTTCCAGTTAAAAGCTGAGCAGCAGCATTCTGGACGAGCTGGAGATGTGAAATGGAGGCCTGGCTGATCCCAGCATACAGTGCGTTGCAATAGTCCAATCGGGTCGTGACAAAGGCGTGGACTAGTTTCTCAAGGTCGGGTCTGGACAATACTGGCTTGAGCTTAGCTACCTGTCTTAGTTGGAAGAAGCTTTTCTGCAGAACAGAGTTGATTTGTTTGTCAAACTTGAAGTCAGAGTCTAAACCATCCTGAGATTTTTACCTGACTGCTTCAGATATGGCTGAAGAGAGTCCAGGTTGACAGGATCAGTGGTGGCAGTTGAGCTAGGGCTAAAAACAATGACTTCAGTCTTGTCATTGTTAAAACTTGAGAAATTTGAAGCCATCCAGGCCTTAATGTCATCCAGACATTTTAACAGAGGGTGAATGGAGCAAACACTTGCTGGTTTCACAGGCAGGTAGATCTGGCAGTCATCAGCATAACAATGGAATGAAAGACCATGTTTCCTCAGGATGGACCCCAGTGGGAGCAAATAAAGTGAGAACAGAAGGGGTCCAAGAATCGAACCCTGTGGGACCCCACAAGAAAGAGGTAATGAGGCGGATACATTGTTACCAACCTTGACACAGAAACTCCTGACACTCAGGTATGAGCGGAACCATTCTAATGCAGCACCTGTGATCCCAACCCACTGTTCCAGCCGTGATATAAGGATACTGTGGTCAACAGTATCCAGTATCCAGTAACTATAACATTATATATATGGGGGCCGAGATGGTGCAGAGGCAGGGCAGCTGGGTCGGAACCCGGAAAGTCCCAGGCTCGATTCCCGATCACTGTATGTGGTGATCCCCAAGGTCAAGATCAAAGTTTCTTTATTGTCATTTGCAACACATGTGGTACATGTGGTGGACCAAAATTGTGTACACAGCATCCCAGTTACATCCAACAAAAGTATAAATTGTAAAGAAAAACAGTAATAAGATCTAAGATACGAACTAAGAAAAACACCAAGCACTAAAAACAATACGCCGACCAACAGCAGCACGAACATGAGTCCGTGTGAGCACATGAGTACGAATGAACATTTCATTTCATTTGTAGCTATATTATTTACTATATATGTTAGTCAATCATTTGATTTATCGTTTTGTGTTTATGTATGTTTAAATCTGTTGATCGTTTCATACCGTCCTCCAAGGTGTGAACAAACACGTCGTCCTCTTCTGACAGTGAGCTCTGTCCCACAGCTGTAGATGCAGCAACACGTAGCTTATAGGGAGTATACTTGTCCAGCTCTACACATTTAAACAGACAAAAAGAAAACAATCAACCCATTCCTTTTCTGGTGATTGCTGCATTAAAGGGATAATTCAGATCTTTTGAAGAATGGTTCTGTGAATACCAAATCATTTATCCTGTTGTAAAAGGCTCTTTGATTGACCTAGAAGAGTTTAATTCTGACTGGACTGACAAACTAAGTGTAAGATAAATTTTCCTGACAGGGTTAATCCAGCAGGAATCTTGTGGTAATTCTGCCAGATGTAGCCCAGGCAGCAATGGAAGTGCTAAAGTTAAGTTGTCGTTTGTCAGCAAGTACTATTGACTGCAAGAAATGCAAGGAATGTGTGACAACTTGTGTATGTTTAAATCAAAGATGTATAAATACACATGTATATGTGCTTACCGGGTTGTGAATATTGTTTTTTATATGCTACTTAGTGATATGCATTTCTTGTATAGAAGTTTAGTATGTACATGAATACCATATCAAGATATTAATAATACATTACTGATATAAATATGTTGTGTAAGAAGTAATATATTAATTAAAGATAAGGGGTAGGATTAAATAAGTTTAAACTTCTTCCTACTCCTTTTCAAACAGATAAAACACTGCCAAGTTCTTTATTTACTCACTGTTGATTTTTTTATTTATTAGTATCTATAGTGTATGTTTCTTTGTACTGTGATTTTTTATTTATTTATTAGTATCTTTAGTGTATGTTTCTTTGTACTGGTCTATTAGTGTATTATTATTATTATTATTTTTTGTAAGGCCATTTTAACCTGTGCAAAATAAATGAATAAATCTAAAATCACAGCAGAAGTTTGTGTAATTAAACTTGAATTGGGGAGCTGGAGGTGATGTAAAACTTTATAAAATAGGATTTATATGAACTGCCGTAAAAAATTTGGAAGTTGTTGTCGGACAACAGCAACTAATTTTGGTTTTGGCGCCACTCACAGAAGTTGTTCACTCAATAGGTGAAGTTGCTCAAAGAGGTATTTACATGAGGAGGGATATTATAACGTTGCACAGAACCTCACAACTATCTCCATATAGAGAAAAATGGTTTTTTAATACACTTATTGGGCTCTAAGATTTTTATTTATTTATTTATTTATTACATAGAATGAAATGTGCACCTGATATCACTATGTCCGTTGTGTTCGTTTCCCATTTTAGGGCTTCATTAGTGAGCAGATTGAGGCCGTAAACGGTGTAATGCGTGATCCGTCCATTAGGGTTGAGCGGTGGGAGCCAGCTCACACTGATGGAGGTGGAGCTGATGTTCTCATAGGCCACTTTGAGCACTGCACTGGGAACTTGAAACACAAAACAAGACATCATTGCAGAGATTTTTTATAGAGATTTTTGGTGTTTTTAGACACTATCATGAGCACCCACCCTGCTCACTGGTCTTCTCAGTAGTGTTTGTAGCAGGTCCTTCTCCTGCGGTGGTGGAAGCCGTGACCCTGAATCTGTACTCAGTGAAAGGATTCAGCTCTGACACCAAGTAAGACAGCTTCTCAGACATAACATTCACTACCTCCTGTTTCACTGTCACACCTGGAGAGTTAATGTAAACTTGTAGTTAGACACAAGGAAGCATTTCTTCTTTTATGAAAGCAAAGCTACGCTACGTGATGCAGCTGTCGCACCTGGAGTTCCAGACACTGCCGTGCTGCGTATCGAGACGTGCGCTGTAACTGAAGCATCGCGTGTAGACAGGCGCAGCTGGCCTGGAGTCAGAGCTGAGGTGGAGGTGTTTGTATGGGACTGTTCTGTCAGCCAGTGTGGAAGCGTAGCAGGTGGCATAGAAGTGACAGAGCTCCCTGCGCTGCTGTGAGACTGGGACACAAAGCTTGAGCTGGACTTCACCACAGTGTGGAGGGTCGGTTCAGTGTTAGTGTTAGCCGTGCGATCGGTGCTTCTACTGGCAGAGAGTGTGATGCTGGATGCAGTCGTGTCAGTGGGCAGGGTGCGGGGAGAAACAGTGGCAGTGAAGGTCGGCGGAGACGTGGTCACAATGAGCTCACTAGATCGCTTTTGTCGCAGCAAGATGGCAGGGGCAGCAGGAGGACGTGCCTCACTCTGGTTTAAAATTGTTGTGTTCTGAAAGAAGGAAGAACAGCTTTGAAACATTTTGGCTCATCAGCAACGTGAGCGATTTCCACCGGAGATAGAAAACAGCTGTAGGTGGTACAAGTCCTCCCAGTTTTTCACTTGAAGCAAAGCTTACAAGCAGAAACGATTGAGATATGGAAGCAAAACATTCTGATTCTTGTTTTCACTTTCAGTTTTAACATAAGAGGTTATTTATTCTATTAGGATTTGTACAGTTATGGAGACTAAACCATTTTAATGGTGATTTTAATAGTAATAGAAAACCGTGCATTCCTTGAAGGAGTGCACATCGCTCATCGCCTTTATGTTTAGACTGAGATGGTGTTATGTTGAGAAATAACTGGCTGTAGGTATTTTGGTCAAACCCTGAGAATACCGTATTATGCAATACTGTGAGATACCACGCTCAGAGTGCATCTTGTGAATGACTCTCAGCTACTACCACAACAAACTTCACCTCAAAACCTCTAAAACTGGCTGAATTGGAGCACTTTTTTGTGTTTTCTAAGTAAGATTGAACACGAGAAACAAAAAAATTGTACATGACACATGATTTTCAACTTTAATTTTACTCATGTGATTGGGACAGTATGGGATACTGTACAGAAAAAGTTAACGAAAAGATAAAATACTTTGGACAGGCGCCGCCATTTTGTAGTTTTATCTCAATAAGCCTACACTATATCTCCGCTCATAATGATTACATTTCCCAGAAGCCAACAGTACCCCGCCCAGAAACCCCATTTCCTTCTGCTGAAACACTAGAGGGGAAGTTTTGAATGGATCGGAAAAAGTTTGGTGCTTATTCATGCCCAACTGATGCGGAGGGCCGCACAGAACCCACCGGGAACCGGATCAGAACTGGAGCAGAACCAAACCTCCAGACTCATCAGTGAATCTGAGAGCAGCTAGGCATGAGGACTACCAAGCGCCATAGGTCCAGCTTCTCTCTGGAGCCCACCAGGACTTTCTTTCATCCAGATTTGGACTCAGTCTGGTCCCATGCTGGCCATCCGAAAGTCCGTCTCCCTCCAAAATGCATTTCAGTGCTCAAGGATGAAGCAGAACTGGCAGGGTAGGTCTGCTGCACCGGAACCGAGCCGCTGTTTCTGCAGAGCTGGTAAGTAAAATTTTGCTGTACTGTAACAATAAAAATTACGTAGGTTTCAAAGTTTAGAACATTGTGGGCTTCATCGCTGCAGGGTAGGTCTGCAGAAATGAAACTGAGTTGGAGTGGAATCGAGAGCTGCTGCTGTTCTGCAGAGCTGGTAAGTAAAATTTAGTAGCTACATAAACGTATGTTGTTAAAATGACGTAGGCTTAAGAATTTAGAGCATTGCAAGCGTAAGGGAATGGTTTTTAAAGCCTTAAAATATATAAATACTAAAATTAATATAACTTCAATACTTTGAGGATTTTTACTTATTGTGTGTGTGTGTGTGTGTGGGGGGGGGGGGGGGATTCTGGAACGTAACCCCCGCAATAAAAAGGGACTAATGTAATTAGAAAAGAATGGTTAGAAATCAATAGCTAAAGCTGCATAGTAAAAACAAAACCAGTACCATATTCCCATCTCAATTTTGTCAAAGTACATAAAACGTATGGCTAAATAGTGCTTTAATACCATCAGTACTTATGTATGTATAAATTACACATAAAATGTAGAGGTTACTCTTCAATGGTTAATACAGCTAGTAAAGTACTGATACATTTTGTCAAACCAGATGCTGGTTGGTTTTGTACCAAGCTGGAAGCCAGTGACGGAACTTTTTATTTTTAATTGCTCTAATGCAACTTTAAAGCACAAAATATTTAGATTCAAGCTCCTTGTTCTGGATTTACATTATAAAATTATTAAAATTCTTAGTTGCTGAGGCAGTGGACATCTGCCTTTACCTGTGCTGTGAGGGTGATGTCCTGCAGCAGAGTGTTGTCAACCAGGACCTGCAGTCTGTACTGGATTATGGGACCATTGGGCTGGGCAGGGCTTCTCCAACTCACACGAATCGAAACTGAATCCTCGGCCTTGGCCATCAGGTTCTGCACTACGCTGGGTGCTACTCACAGGAACAGAAGCAGAGATTTATGCACAGAAAAATACAAAACACCACTGAAGACTGAAAACTGAACATGTGCTGATGGACTTGTTCAGTACATTACTTTACGAGTGCACTCACCTTCAGATAGAGTGATTACAATGTTCTCTGTAGCTGGACCCAGTTCTCCTGCAGTTTTTGCTCGGATAGATATTTTATACCTTGTGTAAGGAGTCAAACCAGTTAAAACGAAACGCATGTCCCATGTGGAGTTCTCGTATAAAAAACCTGAAAATGACAACAACAAAAACAATTATTGGATATATTTCTAATAGGTGTATATAAATGCATGACTTTTGTAGGTGGTTTTGAATAACCTGTAGGTCCATTCAGGTAAAGCACATAGCTGAACTTTCCAGTCACAGTTCTAGGAGGGTTCCACGACACAGAAATGGCTCTCGAGGTCATATTTCTTATAGTAAAATTTTGTGGTGGATCTTCCGGAGCTGACATCCAAAAACACCAACGTTAGGAGATCGTGTCACGCTTCAGACACTTTAAAGCTTCACTTCGTTGTTTTTACACACCTGATTCTGGTGTCCGAACCATCGTAGAATCTATCTGTCCTTCTCCATCTGACGTGAAGGCCGACACCTCGAACAGATAAGTTGTGTAAGGCTGCAGCTGATCGACCCCCACTGATATGGGAACGCTCCAAGAGGCTGCGGGGGGAACGGCAGAGAGGGTGATGGACGGCGAAGAGGCTGTTATCTCCAAGGGACTAGGAGTTGCACGTGACAGGATGTCAGCCGCGTCCTGAGCACAGAAAAAAATCCCACAGGACATAAAGTAGCATCTACGACTCTACTTGTTATAATATTATAATAACAGAACGACAGCAGGGTTCAGTACGTTGCAGTGAGGCAGAGCTATGGTCATGATTTCCTTTGCGTTGACCTCCATAATGCGGACGTTCTCTGGCCAGCGAACATTTTTCGTCTTGACTGCAAACTTTGTGATGAGGCCGTTGATGCGCTGCGGCAAATACCAAGTTACCACGACGTAGGTGTGGTTCTGGGCATGCGCCGTCAGATTGGTCACCAGGCCAGGAGCTGCAGGATTCAACAGAAACACGAGAAGAAAACACAACTTTGCTCACTTTGCACGATGTATTTTAGATGTGCTGCCATAAGACTACTCACACGACTCGGCTGTCTTCATGTATAAAGGTTTGCTGAACGGTCCCATTCCTGCTGGAGATTTAGCTGCTACCTAAAGAAAGAAGAAAGAGCCAGTTAGGCATCTTTCTGATTATGTGTGTGAGTGTGTTTGTTCTAAAGAAAGACTTTAATCTTCTAGGACTTAAATTAATTTATGTTCCAGTCAATAAGAACACCAACATTATTCCAGTGATGTGTTAATCTCGGCCACTTCTTAGTTACCTGCAGCGTACACTCGGTTCAAACAGGAAAGAACAGATTGTGCACTTTTTCTCTTTTTTATGGAAAGTGAAAGGCAAATGATTTAACAGGCCTCAAGGAAGATTGGTCTCTGGAGTATAAAGGCTATTAAGCTGGGATGACAGGTTTGTGAGCAGTTCCATTCACAGACTGGAGGGTCAACAGAATTGCAGGGGAGATGTAGTAAAACGATACATGAACACACACATAAGCGCAAATGCTCCGTGTGCAAGCATATTCAACAAGTGTGCCAGTCTGGTAAAGTCTGTTTGTGTGAAGGTCATTGTGGGTTAATGAATTCTGAAAACTAATAACCACGATCGCATTCAAGCTCAGTGACAACAGACAGTGGAAAGAGGCCGGGCTGATCCTTAGATCTGTTTACCTGATTAACAATTCAGTCGGGATCAATTACCTGCATTCAGCCAGAGCAGGAGAATGGCCTGGCCTCTGCTCTCACATCCAAAGAATAAAAGGAGGATCATTTCCAGGAAAGTTTGCTTTGAGGCAAACAAGATTTGGTGCTTCTTGCACATCTTCTAATTATTCAGTCTATCAACACGTCCAACACTTATGCGTATTGATTAGGTGTACAGTAGTCCATCGCTACTTCATGGTTAAACTTTCACAGACTCGCTAGTTCTTGGTTTTATCAATGATTGTCAACTTTAATATTACTCACGTGATTTAAAAAGTAAAAAAAAAATAATAATAATACTTCGGACAGGTGTCGCCATTTTGTAGTTTTCTTTCAATAAGCCTATACTGTAAGATCAGTCAAAAGGACTACACTACCCAGAAGTCAACTGTGCTTCCAGATGCTGCTTTCTGTCAAAATGGAGGGAAAGTTTTGATCTAATTTGAACCTGACTAAAAAGTTATGTCCTTAATCATAGTAACTTCAGTTCTCAACGGCTGCAGAGAGCCAATCAGAACCGGACCAGAACCGGACCAAGGCTTCTTCCAGCCTCATCAGTCAATCTGAGAGCTGCTTGCCGAACCAGGGAGGTCCGGTGTCTTCTCTGGAGCTCAGCTGGACTTTTCTGGATTATTTAGACTTGATCGGGACCATTGTGAGGTTTTGTGCTGGCTCTTAGAAGGTCCGGCTCTCTCCAAAATCGTCTGGTGCTCAACAGCTGCAGAGAGCCGATCAGAACCAGACCAGAACCGAACCAAGGCTGTTGAGTCCCCATATAAAATTTAGCAGTACTGTACAGTACATATACATATGTTGTTAGAATTACATAGGTTTAAGAGTTTAGAACATTGCAAGAGTGTGGGAAGGGTTTATAAAGCCTTAAAATATACATATTAAAATAAATATAGCGTTTCTACTTTGCGGTTTTTCACTTATCGTGGGGTGTGTGTGTAGAACATAACCTCCACGATAATCAAGGGACTACTGTATATGGGATTTAGATTAATGTTCTTAATAAAAAAAACAGTTAAGTTCACAGAAGAAAGTTTCTATAAACCACCCAATAAACGGTAATAAATAATGTTTCCTACCTGAATTAGATATGTGGAACCAGAGGTGAAGACAGTAAGCAGAGTTTCTGGTATGACTATGTTTATTTCCATTAGAGTGAAATAGGTTTTGGGGTATGGACACATCTCCTTGTACCTACAAAGACAAATTAATCCTTAATGTTATTCACATTACAACATTAAAATATATATATTTTAAACAATATGGGGTTAAGAAAACAGGACTAGAAAGACTGAATTTGTCAAATAAAACACAGTTGGCTGGAAAAATGTCCACCTTGGAGTTTTTACAATCTTTTAAATCCCGCCTGAAAACTAATTTTTGACTTTAACCTTGAATTCAAGTTCAGTTTGAGTCCCATCAGGTCTTTCATGCTGTGGCCTATCCTTGTTTTAGTTGTTGTTTTATGTGCGGGTTTACTGTATTGATTTTATTGATGATTATCCTGTTTGTGTTTAATCAACTTGAAAAGCATTTTGGTCATTCTTGTTGTTAAATGAGTTGTGGAAATAAAAATGACTGACATAAGGTAACTAGAATTAATTAAAGTTCCAATATATGGAGCTTTACACTCTGCTTTTTGCTGCATTTAGATAATAGCTAACATTTTGCTACACTTAGCTGGTGTTTTGTTCATTTTTAGCTTTTAGCCAGTGTTTTTTATTTAGCTTTAAGCTAGTGCTTTATTTAGCTTTTAGCTAATCTTTTGCTACACTTAGCTGGTATTGTGTTCTTTTTTAGCTTTTAGATTATGTATTTTTCATTTTGCTTTAAGCTAGTGCTTTGTTTAGCTTGTAGCTAATGTTTTTTTTTAGCTTTTAGCTTTTGCTTTTTGAGATTTTAGCTAGTACCTTTTTAGCTTCTAGTACCTTTTGAGCATTTCCCTTTTGATATATTTTTCTGGTGTTTTGTTCTTTTTTAGCCTTTAGCCAATATTTTTATTCATTTAGCTTTCAGCTAGTGCTTAGTTTAGCTTTTAGCTCTAGCATTTTTTTTTTTTTTTAGATTTATTAACAGCATCTTAAAAACATTTCATAAGTCAGCTCTCAGCGTTCACACTGCTTTTTAAATGTATTTACTTACGGTACAGTAAATGGTATTTAACTAGTTTTGATTGATGCTGGGGCCACTTATCAAAACAGTGAGTGGTTAGAGCAGTCATCCTTAATTCAAGAGCTGGGGGTTCAATTCCACCAGTATTCACATGTTGAAGTGTCTCTGGACAAGACCCTGAACCCTTCATTGCCTCCAATGTGTGTCCCATCAGTGTATGAATGTGATAAAGCACTGATTACTCTTTGTATAGATCTAGTAGAGTTGTTGTATGAATGGGTAAATGAGGCACAGATTGTAGTGTAAAGAGCTTTGAGTGTCGATAAGATAGAAAGACACTATAAGTACAGTCCATTTACCATTTTTATATCTACCTCTGGCGTTTCCTCAATTCCTTCAGTGCCAGAGTATCTACTCCATTACTTATTGTTTTAAAACCCTGTATGCATTTCTATTTGATTACTTATTTGTTTTAATCTGTTTTAATCTGAGTAAAACTTAAAGAGTAAAGAGTTTTAAAAAGGTAATTTATTCTAATTGCCAGTTCCACAATTCTAATAAGTGATCATCTTTTTTCTCTAATGTTGATTTTTCTATTTTGTTGTTTTTTATTTTGTACGGTACACAGTGCAGCAGAAAACACTACCTGATGACGTATCCTTCTATATTATTCACATCAGTAAGCATGGTCCAGGATAGCAAAATCCCATTCGAACCAACAGCTTCTCCCTCAAGGCTTAGAGGAGGACCAGGAACTAAAGAAGAGGAGGGAAGCGTGTGTGAAGAGGTGCATAAACACCAGCAAACAGATGATCAGATTCTCAGTACAGCTGTGCAAGCAGTTGTGTTAACCATCAGGACTCCAGCCAACTGGTGTGTGATGTAAACATGTGTAGCATAATCCGCTGTCCTGTCCCGTCCCTTCAGTCTGTTGAGTGAAACGCTTGAGCATTTTTAATTTAAACATCTTATCAGTTTGACTCAGACTGGTCCTCTGAGTGTGTTCATGTGTGGGAGCGTAGATGAGTGTGCAACCTGCACAAATGTGTTTTAGGGCTGAAGCCTGATGAATAAGGCTTCACACAGCAGTGGCATTTCACTGACATTCACTTCGGACCCATTCATCCAGTGGTTCAAAAGCCCTGGGTTGAGTTACCCAACAGGAATTAAACAGTGAAGGAAGTGTACACATCCTCTTCCACAGTGTGTGTCTGTGTGTGCGTGTGAAGTGTACCATATACAATGACTAAATGAAAGAGCAGATCTCAAACCAGAGAGTAGCCTGGCTGTACCTAAAACCTCTTTAAGAACACAACAAATAGTCTGAACGTCTCACCACCATCTTGGGTATTGATGATGCGGCTGACTCCAGGGCTCATGCGGCTGACTCCAGGGCTCATGTTGGAGGAGGAGGCTGCTGTGACTGTCAGCGAGTATTTTGTCCCAGGACTCACATTCACCACATTGGCCTGTGAAAAATAACAGAACACTATTGGTCCAGTTAACATTTGTGCACACACACAATCAGATCGGGGATCTGAGGATCTGTCTCACTGACACCATCTTTGTTCTAAACGTGTTTCAGTTGGATGGAATTTATTCAACAACAGTGATTTTAATGTGATAATGTTTATTTTTTACTTTTACAAAGCCACAGTAGCTGGTGAATCTCATGGCAGCTGATAAAAATAACAGAGCTGGTTCCCTTTTAAACTTTAGATTTGATTGAAGTCCTTCAATTGGGAGGGGGGTCACAAGTAACAAAACTGGTTGAGTCAATGACTCGTGTAGCTAGAGCTTGAAACTCCTCATTGTTTCACAGTTTGAAAGGCGCTGGCCATCGCAGTCGAGCTGTCGAGATATATTATAACTAGAGATGGGATCCCAAGCTTGAAGTTGAAGACAAAGTGGATGTGCTCCCCCTAGTGGCTGATTGCTGTACATGTTTTAAGTCCCGCCCCTTCATGTTATCAAATAGGACATTTTCCTGACAATAAATAAATAAGTAAAAATACACCTCAGATATTTTTTTTTGAAAGATGCTGATTTTTGTTGATTCATGTAGTTTTTACCTTGCTGCTATATGTCTTATCATGTAGTTTTTCCTTTCCACTGTTGCCACTGTGCTTACTCAGGATGGGAGACTGAAACGAAGCCAAGATTCAACATGTCTGCTGGCCTCCTTAGATAGAGAACTTTACTAGTTGGCTTTTCTATGTATGTGAATGTTCCTGTTCAGTGCCTTGAGACAAGTTTGTTGTGATTTGGCGCTATATAAATAAACTGAATTGAATTGAATATGTTTAATTGTAATTAGTTATTTCATGTCATTTGGTCATGGTTTTGGGACCAGTTGTCCTTATTCAGGTGGACTAAATTTTACCTTTTATTTTCACTTTAAATACATTTAGGTTTTTAGCTAGTATAGTTGCTCAAAAAACAATGCTTGTTTTCATGTTTTTGAAGTTCTACTAATCCTAAATGTCTATGTAAAATTAAAAAATGCCCACCAAAGAAAAGCTTGGGGCTCAAGAGGAAGAAACTGTCTGAGCAAGGGGGGCTGGTGGGGGGAGGCACTAGTTTTGTTTAGGAAGGGCCATTGTGCCCACTGGCCCCTTCTTGATGATGCTTCTGCTCTTCTGTGACAGATTGGATATATTTAGCAAATCAAATCATTTTACAGCTTACTGTTCCTTCATGACTTTAAAGGCTTAAAATGCCAAATAGTCATAGTTGTAAAATAATAATAAAAAATAAAAAAATACAACAAATGTAGGAGATGTGCTTTTTTTTTTTTGTTTTCAACATTTAAAAATATATATATATATATTTTGGACTTGCAGAGGCAAAAGCAGCATGTTTCTGTTTGTTTACATTTTTGATTGTATTGTACACACACACACACACATATATATATATATATATTGTGTTTAGTTTTTTTAATTGTCATGTTTTTAAATTAAATTAATAAAAAAATTAAAATAAAAAAATTAAAATGTTTCTGTTTGTCTTTCATTCCCTTCATCAACACTCACCAGGGTCATACATTCCCAGTTACAGTAGACGGTGACTAAGATGGTGGGAGGTGTGCTGCGTTGACTAAAGTCAGCTTTATTTTACAGGTGTGTGTTACAATCACATGTTAAAGCTCAGCTTCACAATAATTTATAAACTCATTTAAATGTAGGGTTGGAACGACTGATCATTTCCATATCAGCTGATCTACTATTTCCTTTTTCAAATTGATTTTTTGGGTCAATAAATGAAATATATTGAGAAATCACAATTACAAAAAAAACAAAATCACACACTTGACGTTCCCACCAAATATATTTTAATTCAATCTGTAACAGCTCCACAATTGTAAGGCAAAGCAGATAGTATTTATAATCCCTAGAACGTACAAGTAATAAACATCTAAAATAAATGTGTCCTTTTCCTCATGAGGGGAGCGAGACATGAAAATCTCCAGGAATTTTTTTAGATTTCAAACTAATTTAAAGTTTAGATTACTCCTAAAATGGCAGCCCTAAACAACAGCAATTCTTTGAAGCTAATATTTTAACCAATTTTATCAAAACTAAGTTAAACATTTGGTGAAACAAAGACAAAATACAACAAATAGGATGCCTAGAAGTCGTAGTACTGCATGTGAGACTTCAACGATTACAGCATTTTTAGATCTCTCCAAAAAGAGTGTAGGTTGGATTTGTACATCAACAAGATGACATATTGTTGCTTCAAGAACTCTGTGAAGGACGAGGCTGAACAGCAGCAAGAAAGTACTAGAAGGATTCTGGGAAAGTCCATGTTTTCTCAAGCTTAGCCCACTTTAGAGGTCTTAAATAAATGTGTAAAAATCTGCCTTTTATCATGTTTTACCACTTTGGCAATCTAACAAACAGCATTTACAATAATCCTCCAGTTGACTAAATCCATCTAAGTACTTTCCTAATATCGTATTTTTCAGACTATAAGGCGCACCGGATTATAAGGCTCACTGTCGATTTTTGAGAAAATTAAAGGATTTTAAGTGCGCTTTATAGTCCGAAAAATATGGTAAAAGTAAAAACATTCTGCCCTTGACTCGATTTCATTATATGTGATCTAAAATGAATTTCATCCACTCCGCTCAATCATCAGAATCAATAAAACGACTGCTAGAAGCTGATGGATGACCGTTTGTGGTTGTAGCTGCCTGAGCCTGTAAGACAGATACATTTTGTTTTTTCTACCTGTGACACCAGAGTGTACGGTGATCACCTGTTAATACCTTAGGTGAGCTCAAAAAGCACAACAAATAATTCTGCACTTGTGTGAAAATGCCCTGAACATAAACAGAATGTTAGAGACAAATAAGTCAGTAAACAGAGGTGAGTCTTACCTGTGAGTGCACCTGTCCAAGGCACAATGAAAACAGCAGGATGCCTGAGAAGGCAGCCATGCTGAGCAGAAGTTACTTTAGTCACAGAAAACTTAGAGGCCTCGCCAGTTTTTCTGCATTCAGTGGTCGTGCATGAAGCTCACGGAGGTCGACAGGTGATGGGTTAGTGTTCAGGCCTCGGACGATAAGTCTTGGTCTTGAGTTGTTCCAAAAGTTTAGCGATGAACAAATTCAGGTCGTGAATTAATTTATTAGCAGAAGGCTAATGGTTTATCTCTGCTCTCTGAGCCTCTTCTGGGAGAGCTGCTTAAGCAAATGAATGATTCAGGGTTGAGCTCATGAGGGAAACTTAATAAATAATGAGATCTATTACCCAGCTCTGTGCTCAGTGTTTTACCTGTGTGTGTGTGTATGTGTGTGTGTGTGTGTATGTGTGTAAGGTTACATTTTGGGGGTATTGGACACCTGGTAGCCAGAACAAACCAGCGTGGGGCAGGACTTGGTTGAATGGGAGCAGAGATGTTTTATTGTATGTAAAGACTGTTAAAATGGATTCTAAAATGGATTTGAAACCAGTGCAGGAATTTTACAACAGATGTAATGTGAACAAATGTCCTTGTGCCTGTTAAAAGACGTGTAGCAGCATTTTGGCCGACGGCCTCAAAGGAAAGAAACTAGATTTCACCGTTGCCTTTATCTGAGTGTCGAGTTTAAGGGTACCATCAGTTTTGACCCCTAAGTTTGTGACAGTTGACTGAGCAAGGGAACCAAGATCTAAGGAGGCAGAAGCAGGGGCATTACCAAAAAAAAAAAAAAAAAAACACCTCGATTTTCGTTTTTGTTTAAATTAAAAAAGCCTTTCCAGATCCAGGTCTCAACCTCATCAAGGCAGTCATGTGTCTGACAGACTGAGTGGTAGATAATAATGTGTGCACAGTGTATTAGAGCTATCATTTCTAACCCGGCCCAGCCCGGATTAAGGATGGGCCTGTGTCAGGCTTTTTATTGTGTCAGCGGATGCGTGTGGCTGACGATCCAATTATATGGCAACATGGCTTGCCTTAGCATCACCTGCCGCACGCAACCATTTGACCGCGCACTGACCGGCCTTGAAAGAGGTAAAGAGTTCAGTTAAAGTAAAAAAAGACATTCAAACAAATGAGGCATCTTTGTTCTTTCCTTTTAGAAGGTGGTGGTGTAACTTAAAAAAGATTCAGCTGCACACAGCGGATGCATGTGGCTGACGACCCCAACAGGTGAGGTCCCAAAATATTCAACATGTCAGAGCAGGGTCCATGTCTGAATAATGCAGAATGCAGGCAGAAGCAGGGATTTAATGTGTTTTGACGGCCATGAAAGGACAATTTTTCTTAAATAAAAATGTCGGGGGGGGGGGGGGGGGGGGGGTGTTCTGGTTCAGACCTGTAATTACTGTTCATTCATCAGGTCAGATCGGGTTTGGAAATGATGGCTACAGGCTGGGGCCGGGTCGGGTCAGATTTTTTGGGACCGAATGCAACTCTACATTGTATTTTCACTAATAAAACATCAGTGCACTGATGGTGTTTAGATCATATATCCCAACTATCTGCAGTTATAATAGACTTTTGTGACTTTTCATCTGAACAGTGTGTGTACCTGAGTGTATCCGTCTTGTGCAGGATGAATTATGACTTTTCCCTCGTTTGGGTGCAGGCTCACTTGGTACCGATCCACACAGCCCTCTGCCCGCTGCCACCGGAGTGAGAATGCGTGTGCGGATACGTTCACGAAACGCAACCCTCGCACGGGGTTCGGCACTCATGAAAACACAGCGAAGTGGGGTAAGGATGCGAGAGAAGGAGAAAGTGTTTGCACCTTACTGAAGACATGTATTAGAGTTGTTGATCAGTGGCACACCTGAAACTGTATCTACCTGTGTTTACAGTCAGAAAGGCGGCACCTCCTGCCGTCGCTCCTCTCACTCTCTCGGCGCTCACGTTGTAGCTGCAGCCGTCCTGCAGACCTGTAACCACGGCAACCCGCTCCTTTTTGTGTATGATGAGTGTTTTAGTGACTGTAGCGTTGGTTACGATGACTCTGTGGTGCTCGAACTCTCCAGGTGCACTGCTCCAGCTTAGGGTGAGCGATGAAGAGTTGACTTCATTCACGTGAAGGGAGCACAGTCCTGCTGGGCCTGTAAGGCAAATTAGCGTACTGATTTATAATCTGACTGAACGAGCATCAGAATCTGTGCAGCATTACAGCAGGCGTGCGTGATTGTGTGTCTTACGTGTGCTGAACTCTCTGTTTGCTGCCCGACTGGTGTCTGGTCCCAAAACACTCTGAAGGCTGACACCATAGTCTGACCCTGGGATCAGCTCCCTGATCTTATAGCTCACGCTCTCGACAAACATCTCCGTCCACGACTTCCTGTTTGTGGACAGCAGCCCAAACAGAAGCTGGCAAAACATCACAAAGATCTTCAGTCTTAGAACTTTGTGAAAATGTATTTTCAACAAACGACAGGGAAGATATAACAGATTTTTAGACATGTACATTTTTTTATACATTACACTTTAGACACTCGATTTTCAGGTTAACAACAAAATAAATAAATCTTGTTGACTCTGGCTGTGTGTGCTTGCAACGTGCTTCGTCATACTTCCTGGCTGAACTTCCTGTGTGCTCGTGAATTTTTTAAGAGTTGGAAACCAAACCCTCGCTGTGCCTTTGGAGGTTGCTAAGAAACTACAAAACTGACGTAAGTTCAATCTTTTAATTATATTTAGAGATAAATGTTTAGTTTTGTTTGTTGAAGTGCCACGGATTTGAATGTTTGTTTGTAGACGTTGGCAGATAAAACATCTCAGACATCTCACCTTGTACTTCTCTACCTGTCCTGGTGGTGCTCTCCAGGTAATGAATACGGATGTTTCTGGCTGCTCTGACAGAGTCACTTCCTGTGGCATTGCTGCTTCTGGAGATAAACACATGATATCTTGTACTGGCTCCAGTAAATATGCTTCTAATTAATTAGCAAGCAGGAGAGAGATGATGGAGATGACAGCAACAGTAATGCTGGAATATTAAATTACAAATATTTAAAAAAAATGTCCTGCATTTTTGCTTCAATGTATTTTGTGTACAACAACAACAACAACAAAAAAAAACAGATAAATGTCTAATTTAAGCTTTGCCTCATTTTACTTTTCTACGTTCAGACCAAACTTCAGACTAGTATGCCTTGAAGGAATACATAAAACCTGCCGCCTTCCATGCCAAAGTTTTAGACTTAAATTATCTTATGAGGAAAAGTGTTGTAGCCATTTTGGTCAAACTTTATAAACGAAGGGCGTGATATCATGTGATATCTTGTGAGATGTGTTAACCTGAAGAGTATGCATTGAGGATCACTCTCAACTACTACCACACCAAATTTTAGCTCAATATCTGCAAAATTGACAGTTATAACCAGTTTTATGTTCGCTAAGGCGGATTAGCTGTGCAATATCATCCAACGTGTTATACTCAAAGTATGTCTCGAAGATGATTCTCAGTTACTACCACACCAAATATTAGTTCTGCATCTGTAAATTGGCAGTTGTGGTCATTTTTCTGTTTCTCATCTGTGCCCTAAAGTTTACCATTAAACTTCATTATACTTGACCTGACTTACAGTATAACAACCTCTTTAATTTTTTGCCTTTTATTTAAATTCACTTAATTTTAGAGAGAATAGTAAGAACAAGAGGTCAGATTTATTTTAAAAACAAAAAATGTGCTTTTTCCTGCTTGATTCTGTTAGAGAATTTTCAGCCAAGGGTTATGAATGTTTTTATTGTGTTTTATATTATAACTGAGATGGCTGAGCCCTCCTGCCTCGCGAACTTGATGTCTCCCAAAACAAACTTTATCTCCACTTCGTGCCTTTTGTGAGTTGAGACTGCGCTGGCTACAGGACGAGGAACACCCACTGAACTCCACTGAACTGAACTGGCTGCACATGACTCTATTCGAGGCTCATTCTGTGACATTGTTTTCATGCATATGCATTTATGTACTGTATTTTTCGGACTATAAGGTGCACTTAAAATCCTTTAATTTTCTCAAAAATCAACATTGAGCCTTATAATCCTTATGTATTAATTAATGTATTATGTACTAATTCTGGTTGTGCTTACTTAACTTGAAATGATTTTATGTGGTACACAACGCTTAAAAATCTGTCAAAATGTTTTAGCGTCGCTTAATGTACCTTTTAATCCGGTGCACCTTATAGTCCGAAAAATACAGTATTTTATGTGTTATGTTATGATATGAATGTACATTTATGCAGCTGTTTTTGTTTGGTTTTTATATAATTTCTTTTATTTATTTTTCATTTTACATGCTTTTATATGGTTGTCTGTACCTCATCTGTGTTCTTTGTCTAAAACAGGTCTCTCTTGTGAATGAGTCCTCATGACTCAACGAGACTAACCTGTATAAATAAAGGTTGAATGAATGAATGCAACCTGTCTTGAATGGGTCCTTGCAAGTAAAGCCGGTTAAAAAAAAAAACTTCACCTGCCATGAGTTATGGTCCTTTTGAGTAAACGTTAGTGAACGGGAGAATTTTTCTAACAAATTGGTCCCTCGACAGCCGGTGCCAATATCTTCCATTGATCACCAGCCTTGGATTTAAAACGGTGCACAGTGGAGTCGAAGGCTACTGAACTGAAAGCTCTCTGGCCGAATTGCTGAGTTTAGCAGAGGCCAGGACTGCTGGAGGTCGAGGGAGGTGACAGAAGTCCAACCAGAGATGAGCCATGACTATAGGGTGAGTGAAATGTCATTCTTTCCAAACCCAGAGGGTGCAGATGTATCCAACATGTGGTGAAGTGTTCTGCGCACACGTTGACTCACCAGTATACAGGATCAGAGTGGCAGGTTTACTTCTTCTCTCTCTACTGGTGGTAACCACTTCAACAGTATACTGATTCCCAGGATCAAGACCTTCAAAGCTGTATGATCTATGGATGCACAGATCACACAGGCACAAGTTTTAGTCTGCGACAGTGACTCATAATAATTTATGTGGTGTAAACTGACCTGGGCTCCTGATGAGAAACGACCAGCTCCTGAATGGATGTTCTGTTTTTGATGGACAGGATGAGTTCGCTCACCAGTCCTCTGGCTGCACTCCAGCTAATGCATATGGATGATGTTGTTTTATTGACAAGAGAGACCTCCAGCATGACGGGGGCTGCCACAGCATGAAAAACAAGGCACGGTTATTAGGAACCAAAGATGAAGGAGTGCTCGCCTGCGTGTGCGTTTACCTGCAGTGATATTGATCGAGACGGGCGAACTGTCGGCGAAGGACTCCTTCTCTGTTCGAACGACGAAGTGATAAAGTGAGCCGGGAGTCAGAGCAGAAAACACTGCACTCGGACCGAACACCTTCTGCACCTGTAACACACACAACAAAAAGCTTTATTAAATTATCACAGTCAAACCATTAATTAGAGGAAAATCGAAAATACACATTTTAATATGCTATAGATTAAAAGACATTCAAACAGGTGTTCATAATAGGCCCACAAAGGTTGATTTGTGCCCACCTTCAGGCATTTCATTAGCTAATTCATGCATCTGCTTCGTAAACACGTAAAATGAAATTTATTGTTTTACTTACCTTGATTGTGTGCTCACAGTTGAGGCATATGACCTCGTAACCGTGAGCGTGACCTTCCGCTGGATCCCAGAGCAGCTCGATGGATGACTCCGTCACCATTCCTTCCCTTAATCTGCTTGGTGGAGCCAGACCTAAAATCACACATCATGCACCAAAAAATATTCTCATTAATGCTCCAACACTTAAAAAAACACTGATAGCTTTTTTTTTTTTTTTGGTATAGAAAATCACAAAACCGATTATGCACCCTGATGAAATGACATTATTGACTAACTGTATCTGTTTAATAATTGTTTAAATTAATTAGCGTGTTGCACTATTGCATTTAAAACGTTTATTATCTTTTCCTTGAGTTTGTGTTTGTGGAAAGAAAAAAGAGCTGCTTTAGTCTCGGATGTTTCATGGCTTACAGTATCCTCCTTACGACCTGCAGCCCCACCTAAAACCATGCAGCTTCCATCATTTCTAAATCTTCTATCATTTCAGCACAAATCTTCAAAGATACAAAGCAGACATGATCTGGTGCCAGTATTAGGGGGAATTACATTTTTAACCTGGTTGGTGAAAAATGCATGAGATGATGACATGGAAAACAGCTTTAACTGAGGCTAAATATGGATGATGGGGAAAGTATTGGGATATTTTTCAATGTTCAATAAAGCACAATAAAAAAAAACATTAACATAAATTTCAATTGAACACCTCTATCTCAGCTTAACGCAGAAATCCGGGCTGCACACTACATAAAAAAAAAAGTTGTTATCGCAAAATCAATGTCAGTTGTAAAGGATTGTAATAAATTACAGACACAAACTACAATCAAATGGATCTAAATGACCATGCAGCCGATTTAGATGAGAGTGGCCAAAATGCTAAATCACATGGAGGAGTGAGGAAAACATGGATCACACATCATTCCAATATTCACTCATCATCACATGTTTTTCTGAAACTGTGCAGCTCTAGACACAATACAATGGACATTCACATAGGAAGAAAACACTGATTAATCCGTAACAATGGAAACTTAAAAAAGGAAACTAGCATTCCATGAAATTTCATTTATCAGATATTACCAGCTGCAGTGGTCATCTTGAATAAGGTTGACTCCAAACCTCAGTTTAATTCAGTTTATTTACAAAGCGCCAAGTCACAGGTGAAGTCATCTCAGAGCACTGAACAGAAACATCCATCCATCCATCCATTATCTTTACCCGCTTATTCCATTTTGGGTCACGGGGGTCGCTGGTGCCCATGTCCAGCAATCACTGTGCGAGGGGCGGGGTACACCCTGAATGGGTCGCAAGTCCATCACAGGGCCACATAGAGACAAACGAGCCAAACAACCATTCACTCTCTCACTCACACCTAGGGACAATTTTTAGAGTTACCAATCAGCCTAACATGCATGTTTTTGGACTGTGGGAGGAAACCGGAGTACCCGGAGAAAACCCACGCATGCACGGAGAGAACATGCAAACTCCACCCAGAAAGGCCCCTGGACCGGGGTTTGAACCAGGGACCTGCTCGCTGAGAGGCAGCAGCTCTACCAGTTGCGCCACCGTGCAGCCCGAACAGAAACATTCATATATAAAAATAATAATTTAACATTATTTATCTGAGGAGCAGGTTGCTTTGAGATTAACTCCATCACAGAACTCTCATTTTGAGCAAGCATGAAGGCAACAGTGGAAAGGAAAAACTCCCTCGTGTGGAAGAAACCTTTAACAGAACCAGACTCAGGACAAGCAGCCATCTGCTTCAACTGGTTGGGTTTGAGAGGAACCGGAAGGAAGAACAGAAACACAATGGCAGGTCAAGAATCACATTAAGATAGAAATAATTTCTAATGAAAACGTTCAATTTTAACTATTCGTTTAAGGAAATTAGGTCATTTTGTCCTCCATTAGTCTAAGCTTATGGCAGCATAACAAGCCAACCCTAACTATAGGATTTATGAAAAAGGAAAGTCTTAATCCCAGTCTTAAAACTGGACAATGTGTCAGCCTCACGGACAGAAACTGGAAGTTGGTTCCACAAGAGAGGAGCCTGAGAACTGAAAGATCTTCCTCCCACTCTGCTTTTGGAAACTCTAGGAACTGCAAGTAAACCTGCAGTCTGAGAGTGAAGTGCTCTGTTAGGAAAATATGAAACAATAAGATCTCAAATATAAGATGGAGCTAGGTTGTTGAGAGCTTTGTAGGTTAGAACAGGGAGTGTTGAATGAGTTGTAGATGTACAGATACTGATGACCTTTTCAGAGTTTCATGAAAATTTGCTCACTGGTTCGTG